AGTAAGGGACACCTGTACTTACATGAAGTGAGGGATACCTGTACTTACATGAAGTGAGGGATACCTGTACTTACATGAAGTGAGGGTCACCTGTACTTACATGAAGTGAGGGACACCTGTACCTACATGAAGTGAGGGTCACCTGTACTTACATGAAGTGAGGGATACCTATACTTACATGAAGGGAGGGACACCTGTACTTACATGAAGTGAGGGTCACCTGTACTTACACAAAGTGAAGGATACCTGTACTTACATGAAGTGAGGGATACCTGTACTTACATGAAGTGAGGGACACCTGTACTTACATGAAGTGAGGGTCACCTGTACTTACATGAAGTGAGGGATACCTGTACTTACATGAAGTGAGGGATACCTGTACTTACATGAAGTGAGGGTCACCTGTACTTACATGAATGAGGGTCACCTGTACTTACATGAAGTGAGGGACACCTGTACTTACATGAAGTGAGGGTCCACTTGTACTTACATGAAGTGAGGGATACCTGTACTTACATGAAGTGAGGGATACCTGTACTTACATGAAGTGAGGGTCACCTGTACTTACATGAAGTGAGGGTCACTTGTACTTACATGAAGTGAGGGATACCTGTACTTACGTGAAGTGAGGGTCATCTGTACTTACATGAAGTGAGGGTCACCTGTACTTACATGAAGTGAGGGATACCTGTACTTATGTGAAGTGAGGGTCACCTGTACTTACATGAAGTGAGGGATACCTGTACTTACATGAAGTGAGGGACACCTGTACTTACATGAAGTGAGGGTCACCTGTACTTACATGAAGTGAGGGATACCTATACTTACATGAAGGGAGGGACACCTGTACTTACATGAAGTGAGGGTCACCTGTACTTACATGAAGTAAAGGATACCTGTACTTACATGAAGTGAGGGACACCTGTACTTACATGAAGTGAGGGTCACCTGTACTTACATGAAGTGAGGGATACCTGTACTTACATGAAGTGAGGTTTATACCTGTACTTACTGAAGTGAGGTATACCTGTACTTACATGAAGTGAGGGTCACCTGTACTTACATGAAGTGAGGTCACCTGTACTTACATGAAGTGAGGGACACCTGAACTTACATGAAGGAGGGTCACTTGTACTTACATGAAGTGAGGGATACCTGTACTTACATGAAGTGAGGGTCACCTGTACTTACATGAAGTAGGGTCACTTGTACTTACATGAATGTGAGGGATACTGTACTTACGTGAAGTGAGGGTCACCTGTACTTACATGAAGTGAGGGATACCTGTACTTATGTGAAGTGAGGGATACCTGTACTTACATGAAGTGAGGGACACCTGTACTTACATGAAGTGAGGGTCACCTGTACTTACATGAAGTGAGGATACCTATACTTACATGAAGGGAGGGACACCTGTACTTACATGAAGTGAGGGTCACCTGTACTTACATGAAGTGAGGGATACCTGTACTTACATGAAGTGAGGGTCACCTGTACTTACATGAAGTGAGGGTCACTTGTACTTACATGAAGTGAGGGACACCTGTACTTACATGAAGTGAGGGACACCTGCACTTACATGAAGTGAGGAATACCTGTACTTACATGAAGTGAGGGACACCTGTACTTACATGAAGTGAGGAATACCTGTATTTACATGAAGTGAGGGTCACCTGTACTTACATGAAGTAAGGGACACCTGTACTTACATGAAGTGAGGGATACCTGTACTTACATGAAGTGAGGGATACCTGTACTTACATGAAGTGAGGGTCACCTGTACTTACATGAAGTGAGGGACACCTGTACCTACATGAAGTGAGGGTCACCTGTACTTACATGAAGTGAGGGATACCTATACTTACATGAAGGGAGGGACACCTGTACTTACATGAAGTGAGGGTCACCTGTACTTACACAAAGTGAAGGATACCTGTACTTACATGAAGTGAGGGATACCTGTACTTACATGAAGTGAGGGACACCTGTACTTACATGAAGTGAGGGTCACCTGTACTTACATGAAGTGAGGGATACCTGTACTTACATGAAGTGAGGGATACCTGTACTTACATGAAGTGAGGGTCACCTGTACTTACATGAAGTGAGGGTCACCTGTACTTACATGAAGTGAGGGACACCTGTACTTACATGAAGTGAGGGTCACTTGTACTTACATGAAGTGAGGGATACCTGTACTTACATGAAGTGAGGGATACCTGTACTTACATGAAGTGGAGGGTCACCTGTACTTACATGAAGTGAGGGTCACTTGTACTTACATGAAGTGAGGGATACCTGTACTTACGTGAAGTGAGGGTCATCTGTACTTACATGAAGTGAGGGTCACCTGTACTTACATGAAGTGAGGGATACCTGTACTTATGTGAAGTGAGGGTCACCTGTACTTACATGAAGTGAGGGATACCTGTACTTACATGAAGTGAGGGACACCTGTACTTACATGAAGTGAGGGTCACCTGTACTTACATGAAGTGAGGGATACCTATACTTACATGAAGGGAGGGACACCTGTACTTACATGAAGTGAGGGTCACCTGTACTTACATGAAGTAAAGGATACCTGTACTTACATGAAGTGAGGGATACCTGTACTTACATGAAGTGAGGGACACCTGTACTTACATGAAGTGAGGGTCACCTGTACTTACATGAAGTGAGGGATACCTGTACTTACATGAAGTGAGGGATACCTGTACTTACATGAAGTGAGGGATACCTGTACTTACATGAAGTGAGGGTCACCTGTACTTACATGAAGTGAGGGTCACCTGTACTTACATGAAGTGAGGGACACCTGAACTTACATGAAGTGAGGGTCACTTGTACTTACATGAAGTGAGGGATACCTGTACTTACATGAAGTGAGGGTCACCTGTACTTACATGAAGTGAGGGTCACTTGTACTTACATGAAGTGAGGGATACCTGTACTTACGTGAAGTGAGGGTCACCTGTACTTACATGAAGTGAGGGATACCTGTACTTATGTGAAGTGAGGGATACCTGTATTTACATGAAGTGAGGGACACCTGTACTTACATGAAGTGAGGGTCACCTGTACTTACATGAAGTGAGGGATACCTATACTTACATGAAGGGAGGGACACCTGTACTTACATGAAGTGAGGGTCACCTGTACTTACATGAAGTGAAGGATACCTGTACTTACATGAAGTGAGGGATACCTGTACTTACATGAAGTGAGGGACACCTGTACTTACATGAAGTGAGGGTCACCTGTACTTACATGAAGTGAGGCATACCTGTACTTACATGAAGTGAGGGATACCTGTACTTACATGAAGTGAGGGTCACCTGTACTTACATGAAGTGAGGGTCACCTGTACTTACATGAAGTGAGGGACACCTGTACTTACATGAAGTGAGGGTCACTTGTACTTACATGAAGTGAGGGATACCTGTACTTACATGAAGTGAGGGATACCTGTACTTACATGAAGTGAGGGTCACCTGTACTTACATGAAGTGAGGGTCACTTGTACTTACATGAAGTGAGGGATACCTGTACTTATGTGAAGTGAGGGTCACCTGTACTTACATGAAGTGAGGGACACCTGTACTTACATGAAGTGAGGGATACCTGTACTTATGTGAAGTGAGGGATACCTGTACTTACATGAAGTGAGGGATACCTGTACTTACATGAAGTGAGAGACACTTGTACTTACATGAAGCGAGGGATACATGTACTTACATGAAGTGAGGGATACCTGTACTTATGTGAAGTGAGGGATACCTGTACTTACATGAAGTGAGGGATACCTGTACTTACATGAAGTGAGAGACACTTGTACTTACATGAAGTGAGGGATACCTGTACTTATATGAAGTGAGGGATACCTGTACTTACATGAAGTAAGGGACACCTGTACTTACATGAAGTGAGGGACACCTGTACTTACATGAAGTGAGGGATACCTGTACTTACATGAAGTGAGGGATACCTGTACTTACATGAAGTGAGGGTCACCTGTACTTACATGAAGTGAGGGTCACCTGTACTTACATGAAGTGAGGGATACCTGTACTTACATGAAGTGAGGGATACCTGTACTTACATGAAGTGAGGGATACCTATACTTACATGAAGTGAGGGACACTTGTACTTACATGAAGTGAGGGATACCTGTACTTATATGAAGCGAGGGATACCTGTACTTACATGAAGTAAGGGACACCTGTACTTACATGAAGTGAGGGACACCTGTACTTACATGAAATGAGGGATACCTGTACTTACATGAAGTGAGGGATACCTGTACTTACACGAAGTAATGGACACCTGTACTTACATGAAGTGAGGGACACCTGTACTTACATGAAGTGAGGGATGCCTGTACTTACATGAAATGAGGGATACCTGTACTTACATGAAGTAAGGGACACCTGTACTTACATGAAGTGAGGGACACCTGTACTTACATGAAGTGAGGGACACCTGTACTTACATGAAGTGATGGATACCTGTACTTACATGAAGTGAGAGATACCTGTACTTATATGAAGTAAGGGACACTTGTATTTACATGAAGCAGGGATACCTGTACTTACATGAAGTGAGGGACACCTGTACTTACATGAAGTGAGGGACACCTGTACTTACATGAAGCAAGGGACACCTGTACTTACATGAAGCAAGCGACACCTGTACTTACATGAAGCAAGGGAACCTGTACTTCCATGAAGCAAGGGACACCTGTACTTACATGAAGCAAGGGACACCTATACCTACGATCTAAATGGTGCACACTTTACTGCTTTCGCAGTTTGCCTAATGAGTATCTCATAGCTATTTTCATATAATGTAAAGCATAATCACTGCGAGTGCTGAATAATTCATTGAATAATCTTCATAATTTCCTTATATGTAACTTCCTAATAAATTCATTTAAACCCAAAAGAAGCACAATTTGAAAATCAGTTGCATATGAAACAGTTTCAAAATTGAAGACTCACTTAACAGAAGGGAAGGTGATCTTGACTTCATAAACATCATCAGTGTCAGGAGCAGCCTGACGCTTGGTCACAGAGTTCGGTGTATTACGAGCTATACGGTTTCTGCGAGAGCAGTCAACATTCACATCTAGACCATTGCACTGTCCTGTAGATGCAGCAGTGTTGGTGCAGAAGTTCCACTGAGCATTGAGCTTGTTTAGTGCCTAGATGTGCACAAAGAAATGAGGCATTGTGAGAACCAGTGAAGTTAGCTGTTAAGTTAGTACTAATGAGTAATGCTGCAAGGCACACACACTTCCAGACAAGAAGCCACTCATTAGCTGTTAAGTAGTACTAATGAGTAATGCTGCAAGGCACACACACTTCCAGACAAGAAGCCACTCAGTCTTTATATACTACATTTTTTTTTTTAACAAGTTGGCCGTCTTTCATCGAGGCAGGGTGACCCAAAAAGAAAGAAAATCCCCAAAAAGAAAATACTTTCATTGTCATTCAACACTTTCACCTCACTCATACATAATCACTGTTTTTACAGAGGTGCTCAGAATACAACAGTTTAGAAGTGTATACATATAAAGATACATAACATATCCTTCCAAACTGCCAATATGCCAAACCCCTCCTTTAAAGTGCAGGCATTGTACTTCCCATTTCCAGGACTCAAGTCCGGCTATATAAAAATAGTAACCAGTTTCCCTGAATCCCTTCACTAAATATTACCCTGCTCACATCCCAACAGCTCGTCAGGTCCCAAATACCATTCGTCTCCATTCACTCCTATCTAACACGTTCACGCATGCTTGCTGGAAGTCCAAGCCCCTCGCCCACAAAACCTCCTTTACCCCCTCCCTCCAACCTTTTCGAGGACGACCCCTACCCCGCCTTCCTTCCCCTACAGATTTATATGCTCTCCGTGTCATTCTACTTTGATCCATTTTCTCTAAATGACCAAACCTTCTCAACAACCCCTCTTCAGCCCTCTGACTAATACTTTTATTAACTCCACATCTCCTAATTTCCACACTCCAAATTCTCTGCATAATATTTACAACACACATTGCCCTTAGACACGACATCTTCATTGCCTCCAACCGCCTCCCCTCTGCAGCATTTACAACCCAAGCTTCACACCCATATAAGAGTGTTGGTACCACTACATTTTCATACATTTCCTTCTTTGCCTCCATAGATAATGTTTTTTGTCTCCACAAATAACTCAGTGCACCACTCACCTTTTTTCTTTCATCAATTCTATAGTTAACCTCATCCTTCATACAGTCATCCGCTGACATGTCAACTCCCACATATCTGAAAACATTCACTTCTTCCATACTCCTCCTCTCCAATTTGATATCCAATTTTTCTTTATCTAAACCATTTGATACCTTCATCACCTTACTCTTTTCTATGTTCACTTTCAACTTTCTACCTTTACACTACATATATTTATTTGCTGTGGGCAGTAGGTTGGTAGACAGCAACCATTTGGGGAGGTACTACTGTCCTACCAGGATTGCTGGTGTCTTTTTCCCTGTCTCATAAACATGCAAGATTTCAGGTACATCTTTCTACTTCTACTTACACTTAAGTCACACTACACATACATATACACGTTTATGTATACACACTCATCTGAGTTTTCTCTGAATTTATCTTAATAGCTCTTGTTCTTATTGCTTTTTCTTTCATATTCATGGGAGAGTGGAATAAGAATCTTTCCTCCGTAAGTGATGCCTGTTGTAAAAGTCAACTAAAATACTAGGAACAATGGGCTAGTGACCCCTTTTCCCGTATAGCTTACTAAAAAGAAAAAGAAGAAAACCGTCAGAGTGGGATATTTAAATGTGCGTGGATGTTGTCCGAATGATAAGAAAGAGATGATTGTGGATGTTATGAATGAGAAGCTGGATGTCCTGGCTTTAAGTGAAACAAAGCTGAAGGGGGTAGGAGAGTTTCAGTGGAGAGAAATAAATGGGATTAGGTCAGGTGTTTCAAATAGAGTTAGAGCTAAAGAAGGAGTAGCAATAATGTTGAAGGATAAGTTATGGCAGGAAAAGAGGGAATATAAATGTATAAATTCAAGAATTATGTGGAGTAAAATAAGGGTTGGATGTGTAAAGTGGGTTATAGTAAGTGTTTATGCACCTGGAGAAGAAAGAAGTGTAGAGGAGAGAGAAAGATTTTGGGAAATGTCGAGTGAGTGCGTGGGGAGTTATGAACCAAGTGAGAGAGTACTTGTGGTTGGGGATCTCAATGCGAAAGTGGGTAAAAATGTTGTGGAGGGAGTAGTAGGTAAATTTGGGGTGCCAGGGGTAAATGAAAATGGGATCCTTTAATTGAACTATGTGTAGAAAGAGGTTTGGTAATAAGTAATACATATTTTATGAAAAAGAGGATAAGTAAACAAGGTATGATATAGAACGTAATGAAAGTAGTTTGTTAGATTATGTATTGTTGGATAAAAGGTTGAGGGGTAGGCTTCAGGATGTACATGTTTATAGAGGGGCAACGGATATATCAGATCATTATTTAGTTGTAACTACAGTTAGAATAAGAGGTAGATGGGACAAAAGAAAAATAGCAACAGCAAGTAAGAGAGAGGTGAAAGTGTATACACTAAGAGAGGAGGAAGTTAGGGTGAGATATAAGCAACTATTGGCAGAAAGGTGGACTAGTGCAAGTATGAGTAGTGGGGGGGGTTGAAGAGGGTTGGCATAGTTTTAAAAATGCAGTATTAGAATGTGGGGCTGAAGTTTGTGGCTATAGGAGGGTGGGTGCAGGAGGAAAGAGGAGTGATTGGTGGAATGATGAAGTAAAGGGAGTGATAAAAGTGAAAAAGGTAGCTTATGAGAGGTGTTTACAAAGCAGAAATGTTATAAGAGCAGAGGAGAGTAAAAGAAAGGTGAAGAGAGTGGTTAGAGAGTGCAAGAGGAGAGCAGATGATAGAGTGGGAGAGGCACTGTCAAGAAATTTTGCTGAAAATAGGAAAAATTTTTGGAGTAAGATAAACAAGTTAAGAAAGTCTAGGGAACGAATGGATTTGTCAGTTAAAAGCAGAGTAGGGGAGTTAGTTGATGGGGAACTGGAGGTACTGGGTAGATGGCGGGAATACTTTGAGGAACTTTTAAATGTCGATGAAGAAAGGGAGGAGGTAGTTTCATGCACTGGCCAGGGAGGTATAACATCTTTTAGGAGTGAAGAAGAGCAGGATGTGTGTGTGGGGGAGGTGAGTGAGGCATTATGTAGAATGTATGGGGGTAAAGCAGCTGGAACTGACGGGATCATGACAGAAATGTTAAAAGCAGGGGGGATATAGTGTTGGAGTGGTTGGTATTTTTGTTTCATAAATGCATGAAAGTTTTTACGAGGATAGTGAGGCTCAAGTTGGAGTATGTAGGTGAGAGGGAGATTATTTACCAGTAAAAGTAGGCCTTAGACAGGGATGTGTGATGTCACCATGGTTGTTCAATATATTTATAGATGGAGTAGTAAGAGAAGTGAATGCTCTGGTGCTGGCAAGAGGTGTGGGGTTAAAAGATAAAGAATCTAACACAAAGTGGGAGTTGTCACAGTTGCTCTTTGCTGATGACACTGTGCTTTTGGGAGATTCTAGAGAGAAGTTGCAGAGGTTGGTTGATGAGTTTGGTAGGGTATGTAAAAGAAGGAAATTAAAAGGATAACAAAAAAATTAGGTAACAGAAGATTGGATATTAAATTGGAGGGAGAGAGTATGGAGGAAATGAATGTGTTCAGATATTTGGGAGTGGACATGTCAGCAGATGGGTCTATGAAGGATAAGGTGAATCATATAACTGATGAGTGAAAAAGGCCTTGTGGTGCACTGAGGAGTCTGTGGAGACAAAACACTTTATCCATGAAAGCAAAGAGGGGAATGTATGAGAGTATAGTTTTACCAATGCCATTGTATGGGTGTGAGGCATGGGCTGTGAATGTTGCAACAAGGGGAAGGCTGGAGATGTCATGTCTGACAGCAATGTGTAGTGTGAATATAATGCAGAGAATCCATAGTTTAGAGATTAGGAGGAGGTGCGGGATTACGAAAACTATTATCCAGAGGGCTGAGGAGGGGTTATTGAGATGATTTGAACATGTAGAGAGAATGGAACAAAATAGAATGGCTTTGAGAGTATACAAATATGTAGTGGAGGGAAGGCAGGGTAGGGGTCGGCCTAGGAAAGGTTGGAGGGAGGGGGTAAAGGAGGTTTAGTGTGCTAGGGGCTTGGACTTCCAGGAAAGCGTGTTAGAGAGGAGGAATGGAGACAAATGGTTTTTAGGACTTGACGTGCTGTTGGAGTGTAAGCAAGGTAACATTTATGAAGGGATTCAGGGAAACCAACAGGCCAGACTTGAGTCCTGGAGATGGGAAGTACAGTGTCTGCACTCTGAAGGAGAGGTGTTAATGTTGCAGTTTTATAACTGTAGTGTAGGCATGCCTCTGGAAAAACAGTGATGGAGTGAATGATGATGAAAGCTTTTCTTCTTCAAGCCATCCTGCCTTGGTGGGAAATGGCCAATGTGTTAAAAAAAATGTATGAAAGAGGGGAAGGTACATAAGGATTGGCAGAGAGCATGTATAGTTCCTTTATATAAAGAGAAGGGGGACAAATGAGATTGTAAAAATTATAGGGGAATAAGTTTACTGAGTATACCAGGTAAAGTGTACGGCAGAGTTATTATTGAAAGAATTCTAGGTAAGACAGAGAGTAGGATTGCAGATGAGCAAGGAGGCTTTAAAGTGGGTACGGAATGTGTAGATCAAGTGTTTACATTGAAGCATACATATGCGCAGTATTTAGATAAAGGTAGGGAGGTTTTCATTGCATTTATGGATTTAGAAAAGGCATATGATAGAGTGGATAGGGGAGCAATGTGGCAAATGCTGCAAGTGCATGGAATAGGTAACAAGTTTTTAAATGCTGAACGAAGTTTTTATGAGGACAGTGAGGCTTAGGTTAGGGTGTGTAGGAGAGAGGGAGATTACTTCCTGGTAAAAGTAGGTCTCAGACAGGAATGTGTAATGTCACCATGATTGTTTAATATATTTATAGATGGGGATGTAAAAGAAGTAAATGCTAGTGTGGTGGGGAGATGGGTGGGATTAAATTATGGTGAATCAAATACAAAATGGGAGTTGACACAGTTACTTTTTGCTGATGATACTGTGCTTATGGGAGATTCTAAAGAAAAGTTGCAAATATTAGTGGATGAGTTTGGGAGGGTGTGTAAAGGCAGAAAGTTGAAAGTGACAATAGATAAGAGTAAGGTGATGAGGGTATCAAGCAATTTAGATAAAGAAAAACTGCATATCACATTGGACAGAGGGAGTATGGACGAAGTGAATGTTTTCAGATATTTGGGAGTTGACTTGTCAGCAGATGGGTTTATGAAGGATGAGGTTAACCATAGAATTGATGAAGGAAAAAAGGTGAGTAGTGCATTGTGGTATCGATGGAGACAAAAAAAGCGTTACCCATGTAGGCAAAGAAGGGAATGTATGAAAGTATAGTGGTACCAACACTCTTAAATGGGCGTGAAGTTTAGGTGGCAAATGCTGCAGCGAGGAGGCGGCTGGAGGCAGTGGAGATGTCGTGTCTGAGGGCAATGTGTGGTGTAACTATTATGCAGAGAATTTGGAGTGTGGAAATTAGGAGGAGGTGTGAAGTTACTAAGATTGTTAGTCAGAGGGCTGAAGAAGGGTTGCTGAGGTGGTTTGGTCATTTAGAGAGAATGGATCAAAGTAGAATGGCTTGGAGAGCGTATAAATCTGTAGGGGAAGGAAGGCAGGGTAGGGGTTGTCCTCAAAAAGTTTGAGGAACGGGGTAAAGGATTTTTTGTGGGTGAGGGGCTTGGACTGCCAGCAAGCATATATGAGCATGTTAGATACGAGTGAATGGAGACAAATGGTTTTTGGGATCTGATGAGCTGTTGGAGTGTGAGCAGGGTAATATTTTGTAAAGTGATTCAGGCAAACTGGTTAGCTGGACTTGAGTCCTAGAAATGGGAAGTTCAATGCCTGCACTTTAAGGAGGGGTTTCGGATACTGGCAGTTTGGAAGGACTTCTAAACTGTCGTATCTGAGCACCTCTGTGAAGAGAGTGATTATGTGTGAGTAAGGTGAAAGTGTTGAATGATGATGAAAGTATTTTTCTTTTGGGGGATTTTCTTTCTTTTTGGTTTACCTTGCCTCGGTGAGAGACGGCTGATGTGTTGAAAAAAAAAATATTTATCTAGCTCTATCAGTTCAACTGTCTATCTATTAAACCATATACAGTATCCCTCTTTCTCTACATTTATTTGTCAACCTTACTCAGTTACAGATTAACCCCGACTGCCCGTCATGTAGAACTACGTCACTGATGCCAGGGTATGTCATGTAGATCTACATCATGAGCTCAGCTCACTCACATATGCTGTGAGTAGTGAATTTATGCAATAGTCTGCATAGCAGTAAATCTTCTATTTTTTGTGTGAATAAAAATTCAAAATAGAAAGCAAGAGTAATGTAAGAAGGGCCTGGAGACACGACTGATGAACAGAGAAAATGTTATTTTAGTGCCAGGAATGTTTGCATTGATAAATTAGACACATGTGCAACTCTTGGGTATCTTTATTGAGGAAACGTTTCGCCACACAGTGGCTTCATCAGTCCATATGTAGGAGAAACTTGTATTCTATTCAAGATTGATGGACTGAACACATCGACTCAAGGTTGAGGGACTGATTACCTCATTCTCCTCCTGTTCTTCAAGTTTCTCCTACATATGGACTGATGAAGCCACTGTGTGGCGAAACGTTTCCTCAATAAAGATACCCAAGAGTTGCACATGTGTCTAATTTATCAACATGTCGGTTCTCTGAACCATTCATCTACAATGTTTGCATTGTTCATTCTGGACCCTATTTGGAAACTGGCATATTTTTTAATTTGTATGAAATTGGCCAAATTGCCAATTTCTGACCATTTTATTGGGTAGTTGAAATCGGTAAATGGGCGGTTTCTTGTACTCAATCGATGGAACAAATGGAGATCTAAAGAAATAGCTGAGTTTGGTTGACTGTAACAATGGAATTGGCCGAAAATAGGGCTCAAAGTGGGCAAAATCACCAATGTGTAAATATTGCCGAGACCGCTAACTTTGCAAGAGTGTAATTCCGTAAGTTTTCCATCAAATTTCATACTTTTGGTGTCATTAGCATCAGGAAAACATTCTCTACCATTTCATAAAAAAACTAATTTTTTTTTCCCAAATATTTTGCAACACAGAGACACTCTAGGATTGGGGGTTGTGACAGTCAAAGGGTTAAATACTGACATGGGGAGCACTTATAATTTGGGGGGGTCTGGACAGTGGAAGGTTAAATATGGTGTCTTATACACTGATCCCATAAAAAATAAAACATTCAAATATTTCACAAAAATTAATTTTGCAGTAACTCATGTATACTTTTTAGAATCAATACTGATTTTTAAATTATGGTTCGATACAACAGTAAGATTCTTAGTCCTTAAAAACCTTCATAAGCCTTCATTACTAATATTATCCAAGCTTCAGTCTATTATTAAGCCACAATTTTAGAAGGATGCCTTACATAATTCTCACCGAGAGTTGAATCTGTCCTCATTCACAATTAATAATAAAACACTAATATGACTGTATACAATGCCTCTGCTAATTCAAGATGTTTAATTTCAAGCACAAAAAGGAAGAATATATTTTTAAACAATTTGCATGTGATATTAATCAATTTAAATATTTTATTCCAAGAAAACATCAAACTACTCACAATCCTTATCCTTTCACTGAGCACATTCTGGCCAGCAGCATTGCAAATCACAGAGGATGGAAACTGCATGTTAATATTGAAGACTCTCTGTGCAGGTGAAGCTGGGGAGCAAGCAGGGTACACCAGTGAGTATGATGGGTCATGGGTTGGCCGCCAGAAACCCTCAGCACCGCATGTGTAGAAGTCAGGAACCTGGAGAAATGCGCAATATTTACCATAAATGTTGCTTTATTTGAGATGTAAGTAAATTATTATGTCTCAATGTTATCTTGCATAAATCAATCACTACTAGTTTTTGAAAGTACGAGGGAATTTCATTAATAAAGATATAATCTATTTTCTTGGTAATTTACCTGTGAAGGAAAATCAAATGATGCAGGTAGTAATCATAGAACAGTTTGCTCTTATAACCAAAATCAAAGTTTATATTTACAAGGAAATATGCAAAACCTTTCGGGCAAAGTGATATTAACTTTAGGCTAACTTAAAATTAAGTAGAAATGCTCTGCATGTTAAGGGACTTTCAGCATGCACACCTAAATGTAATTCACCTTTGTACAAACATTGTATCATACTGAAATAAAGTATCTTTATCTTAATCTAAGATTGACTTAAAGATAACTCAAAATTCTACAATCTATTCATTTGTATGTAAAGTATAAATGGAATGAAATATAACTTCTGAAATTAAATAATATGGAATAACTTTACAATTTAAACTTAAAAATAATAATCTGGCTCAGATAATGTATTCAACTAAACTTAGGTAAGCCATGTTGGGTTTACATTACTAGTATAAAATAATTTTTCTCTCACCTTTGTAGAAAACTTAAGTCCATCATTGCACTGAATTTTGCAGACCTTAAAGCGACCACCAGGACCCCAGTCTGAGCACCTCTGAGTGCCTCCCACTGGATCCTCCAGTTTTGGGCAGAACTCCTCAAGTACGTAAACATTAAATGAACAAGTGGCCGAGTTATTGGCAGCATCATAAGCCGCACTGGCAACCTCATAAGTACCCCATGTGAAGGCCTGGGGTAGAAAACAGTCTCTGTGAGGTTTTCAGTAGACCAACGTACACAATAATGATGTATTCATTATTTCCATCTAATTTATCATTATTTTTTTTATTAACACATTGGTCGTTTCCCACCAAGGCAGGGTGGCCCGAGAAAGAAAAACTTTCATCATCATTCACTCCATCACTGTCTTGCCAGAGGCATGCCTACACTACAGTTATAAAATTGCAACATTAACACCCCTCCTTCAGAGTGCAAACACTGTACTTCTCATCTCCAAGATTTAAGTCCAGCCTGCTGGTTTCCCTGAATCCCTTCATGTTACCTTGCTCACACTCCAACAGCACGTCAAATCCTAAAAACCATTTGTCTCCATTCGCTCCTGTCTAACGTGCTCACACATGCTTGCTGGAAGTCCAAGCCCCTCGCACACAAAACCTCCTTTATCCCCTCCTTCCACTCTTTTCTAGGCCGACCCCTACCCTGCCTTCCCTCCACTACAGACTTGTATACTCTTGAAGTCATTCTACTTTGTTCCAACCTCTCTACATGTCCAAACCATCTCAGTAACCCCTCCTCAGCCCTCTCAATAATAGTTTTGGTAATCTCACACCTCCTCCTAATCTTCAAACTATGGATTCTCTGCATTATATTCACACCACACATTGCCCTCAGACATGCCCTCCACTAATTTATCATGTCTGTTTATTAATGTGTCAATTTAAAATTGTTATTTTAATACCATTTATAAAGGATGAAAAAGTTATATTGTTTTTAGAGATAGTAATAGTAGCAATAATTATTTTATACCCAAAGATATAAAATTAAATAAAATAAAATAGAGTGATCTAGGTGTATGTCAAAATAGATATTTTCAGAGCAGATATTAAAATATGATTAAGTAACTTACTGACAACCTGGCAAATAAGCTTGACACCTGTTACCCTTATTTTTTCACAATGGGAAATAAAGTTCTAAATATCAGAGACTGACTTTATAATATTCACTGTACAACAATTATATAATCATTATACAGTACAGGGCATTCAATTATATATTCTAAGTACTGTATATTCCTAACAATACCGAGCAATCCCCCATGTAGCCCGGAGGACACACATACTGTCCACATGTGTATTACATCAGTAACTGAAACATTTTAAGCTTTATATACGACTTTGCAAATCCATTTTTAAATTGAACATGATACTTTATTCATTACTGCAACACATGTTAACAGAAAAGTCATACTGTACTGTAAGCCATTCATTGTACTCAGATGAGTAATCACCTGTCCTGGAGAGTAGCCAGACTTGTCGACCACCTCTTCAACACCAATATTATCAGAAAACACGGGTTCATCCCAATCAACTACTGCAGAGCCATTACGAGTAATGACCCAAATGGGTCCCGGGCAGTAGTCTACTCGAGGAGGTGTCTTGTCTCTCTCCAATACTGAGCAGTCCCCTGTGTAGCCTGGGGGACACACATACTGTCCACATGTGGAAGGCCCAATCCGCTCCACATTGCCCTTCACCATATCATAGCCAGTCCAACGGAGCAGAAGACCATCAAACATAACTGGAGAGTTCATGCATGATCGAACCTGTTTACAGATATATATATTAAATCACAACATAAAGAAATAATATAGTAGGGTCCCGCTTTATGGTGCTTCACCCTAGTGATCCGCTAATACAGATGTTTCAAATTATGACCAAAACTCTCTATACAGCTCCCCCCACCTGACTTTCTAACATGGTCACCCGGTTTGTTTACATTCTCCGTGAGCATCACTCTCTATTATGTCTGGAAATTTTCCAGAATTTCAAGTGTTTTAAAGTTATTTCAAATTTTATATATACTCTGATAATTATACTTATGTGTACCTGTACCTAAATAAACTTACACACTGTGCTGGCATGCAGGTACACATTAAAATCACTAAGAGTGTCTTATTATTCTTGAAGATGCCATATTAATAAATAATAATAATAACACAATAATAATCACTTTGAGGCACATTAAATGTCAAATATTATACTAATATAGATATTTTGATTAATCCATCTATGATATTTTTTCAAAATTATATACATGTAATAAACAATCTGTGTAACATATAAACATGATAAATACACCCACAGTAGAATAAAGTAACATAAATATGAGATGCTTTTCCAGTCATCTTGTTGGAGTGTCAGAAAGAATAACGTTGTCTATAGTTCGGCACCAAAGAAAATGTGTACACAATAGTATTACTGTGTCAGGTTATACCACAAATTCTAACCATACAATAGTGCAGAAAAGTAATGTGAAGGACCTGGGAGTGATAATGTCAGAGGATCTCACCTTCAAAGACCACAACAATGTATCTACCTCATCCACTAGGAAAATGATAGGATGGATAATGACAACCTTCAAAACTAGGGATGCCAAGCCCATGATGATTCTCTTTAAATTGCTTGTGCTCTCCAGGCTGGAATACTGCTGTACACTAACGGCCCCCTTCAAGGCTGGCGACATTGTAGACCTGGAGAGTGTACAAAGAACTTTCACGGCACACATAAGTGCGATAAGGCACCTAAACTACTGGGAATGGTTGGAGGTCCTTAATCTGTATTCTCTCAAATGCAGGTGAGAGAGATACATAATAATATACACTTGGAAGGTCCTGGAGGGATTGGTACCAAACCTGCACACGAAAATCACTCCATATGAAAGCAAAAGACTCGGCAGGAGATGCAACATTCCCCGATCACAAGCAGGGGCACCACGAGTACACTGAGAGACAACACAATAAGTGTGCAGGGCCCAAGACTGTTCAATTGCCTCCCAGCATACATAAGGGGGATTACCAATAGACCCCTGGCTGTCTTCAAGAAGGCATTGGACAAACACCTAAAGTCAGTACCTGACCAACCGGGCTGTGGTTCGTATGTCAGCTTGTGTGCGGCCAGCAGTAACAGCCTGGTTGATCAGACCCTGATCCACCATGAGGCCTGATCTCAGACTGGGCCGCGGGGGCGTTGACCCCTGAAACCCTCTCCAGGTAAACTCCAGGACGTAACTGTAGAAAATTATTCCTTTCATATACCTTCACTCAGAGCATCATCCTTCTAAAAATGGTGTGTTACATGAGAATGGGAGTGTTGTTCTTTATTTATTGTACTTTACCAATTTGGAGACAACTTGTACACAATGTAAGGTGTTTGTATTATGGTATAAGATTCGCAGACATGGGAATGAACGTGGATCAACCAAAAGTAGACGCTCATGTCTGTTTACATATTCTGCGGCTCTGTCCTCTTTCATATACTCGTTCTCTCTCTCTGGTTTATTCTTTTTTAGTATATCGTTTACTCACCTCTCATCCTACATTAAGACTACAAATGTTTTAAGGTAAGTAATGAGTGTACTGTATATGCATTTTATCACTCTGGAGCACTTTAAATGTAGTACACTATATTACATGTGGGTGGGTTGGCCAAGAGGGCTACCATACCTACCACACCTGACTTCTCACAGTAAATACTACTCACCTGTTACCCTACATTATGACTACAAATATTTTGAGATAAGTAATGAGTGTACTATGTGTGTATTTTACTTTTTCTTGTTTTTTAATGCCTAGTTCTATTACTAACTTAATATGTTAGTGTAAACTTGTTATCTGGCATTTATATGCATGTATAAGTGGAAAAAAATGGCGTTCTGCTTTCCAGCGGTAGCCTGGAACCTAACCTGCCATGTAAGTGGGGTCCTACTGTATTGTTAAAAATTTATTAGTTTATACTGTACTTAAAATTGCCTATAAATCTTAAAAATATATATTATATGTACTGTATAAGTTAACAATAATTTAAAACAAATCTACCACAAATATATAGAAACATTCTCTCACCATTTTTGGAATTTCTGTACGGAAGTCGAGAGGTCGATTCCAGGCATTAAGTCGAGCAATGCGACCGTGGAAACCTCGTTCATCTGTATACCCAGAAAACTTAGACTCAACAGAGCCAAGAGTTAACCAGGCACTAAAAAATGTAAATTATTTGAATGTTAGTATATATGAACAGTAATATATATATTACAGCATTATACATTACTATCTAAAGTATATTCATATATGTAAGTAAAGTATTCACCTAAATATGTTTGTAAGTACAGTAATAAGTGCCAAGATAATAGCAAAAAGTTCTGTCTCAATCTGACTGGAATAAAGGGGGAAGGGTAAACAGAGAGAAAGCTCCCAGTGTGGCAAAACAGAAAATGCTGAGAATACATACTACATAGGCAAGTGGAGTCCTTGGGCAAATCCTTCAACCTGTGCAACAACAACAGCATCAGTTGTAAGGGTGAGTATACCAGCAGCACCATCCCACACAAGAGCAACATGATGCCACTGGCCATCATTAACTGGGATATTAGGACGGTAGGTCACAAATTCCTTTAGATCTTTAAAGAACTCAATTGCAATTCCTGCATTGGTAGCTTGAAGAATAACTCTCTTGTTGGAGGGAACATATGGACTCCTATTTGGGATGAAAGAGATTATGTCAGTAAGTATTCTATATGGTACACAACTTCATTAAAAGGTACACTGGGTGGAACAATTGTCTTATATAATACCTCATTTTCTATTCTAAAGTTTGACTGGTCAATAAAATAATGTTTCATAGGATGGATCTGTGCTCTGATAATATTTTCTCCATTCAGGAGCATCAAAGTAAACTACTACTACATTATTACACTAGGAAAATATCCACAGAAGAATCTTAACCATTTCATAAACTAGAAATAATTAACCAAGAGTAAAAACTTACCAGTATTTACAAAAAAAAAAAGGTAAAAAAAGTCTTTATATATTTATATTTCATACTTTTAAATTTGCCAATCAACAGTGCAAAGTGAACATGCTGCAACAAAGCATATTTACATGTTTTCACTCACCGACATTCATGCAAATAAAACGGACACTTACGAGACAGAATAGAGTGTGAAGATGGTACCAAGATCATCAGGGATGGCAAACTGAACCCAGAGTGCCAAAGTGAAAGATGTTGGCTGACCAAGAAGGAAGGGTGTTGCCAGTGATGCACTTGATGCTTTATTCTCATCATTAATGTACAACTCATAGTCGATATTGATAACTGGTAGAAGGATGAAATAAATAAATATAATATCATAGATAACTGCTGCTTATCACTAATAAAAAAACTTACAGCAGTAACAAATGAAAATAAAATACAATCAAATAATATAATGAGATTTGGAATGTAATTAACTTATATGTCATGTACTTGTAAGAAAAGATAAAGCTATAGTGTATAATGCATATTGTATATATTTAAAATGTTGGAATTAGTGAGTCATAAAGAAAAGAGCGAACACTTACCCTTTCTACAGTCTTCGCCAGTAAGGTTGAAGGGACACTTGCAGTAGAAGTCATTAGTCAAATCTATGCACATTGCACCAGGTGGACAAGAAGTGGGTGTACAGTCAACAATGTCCTCATCACAGTGTTTTCCTGTGTAACCTGCAGGGCACACACACTCATACCCAGCACCCCGGTCAATGCATGTGGCACCATTTTTGCAAAGACCAGCATCACAGGCATCAAACTCAAACTGACAGCCAATGCCAGTAAAGTCCTCAGAACATGTACAGTTGAGACCAGAGCCATAATCTTGACAGGAGGCATCATTCATACAAGGGTTGCCCACACACCGTTCTGGGGTAACCTGGCACCTCTTACCATCTGTCCCAGATGGACATACGCAAAAGTAGTCCTCAAACAGGTTTAAGCATTCAGCATCATTTAGGCAAGGAGTGGAATCACAACCACCAATGTCATTTTCACAGCGCTTGCCCATCCATCCTGGTCTGCAGGTGCATGTGAAGTCTGCTACACCATCTGTACACACTCCATTATTATAGCATGGGTTTGACGCACATTCATTAATGTTGTTTTCACAAAATTCACCATTGTAGCCAGCATGACACTGACACTTAAACATGTTATCAAGATCTAAACATTTTTCTGTACCAACTGGATTGCAAGGGTTGCTGATGCACTCATCAATCGATGCCTCACATTGCAGGCCGGCAAAGCCAGGTCTGCATTCACACATGAACCCGTCAAGTTTGTCAACACAAGTACCACCATTCTGGCAAGGTTCTGAAGCACAATATTCAATTGTGTGTTGACAAAGTTTTCCTGTATATCCAGTGTCACATTCACAAAGAAATCCATTAACTTTATCAACGCAGGTACCACCATTCTGACAAGGATCTGCAGCACAGTCATTTTCATTTATTTCACAGCTTTCACCTAACCAGCCTGGATGGCAAATGCACTCATGATAGAAGAAACGATCAATACAGATGCCATTAGAACATGGAGAAGACTGGCAGAGGTCCACCTTTACATGACAACGTTTGCCAGTGAAGCCACCTGGACAATCACAACGGAAATCATGGACCAGGTCGGTACAGTTGGCACCGAGCAAACAAGGATTCTCAGCACAGTCATCTATATTCACTTCACAAAGGCGACCTTCCCAGCCAGGTAGACATTCACAGAGGAAGCGACCCTGTTCTAATGGCACACAAACAGCATCATTAGAACATGGGTTACCCTTCTCTGTACATGGGTTTAATGTGATGTTACAGCCAGGACCAGTATAGCCAGTACGGCACAGGCATTCGTAAGTATCTTTCCCAGGATTATCCTTGCACATGGCTCGGTCAGGGCAAGCACCCTCAATGCATTCACTAACTTCATCTTGGCACTGAAGTCCAGTGTAGCCTTCAGCACATTCACATTGGTAGCCTTGTGGGAGGTCAACACAGGATCCCTGGTTATAACATGGTTGTGAGGCACACTCGTTTATGTCAACCTCACAGAATCTACCAGTGAAACCCGCAGGACAGTAGCACTGCACTTGGTGCTGACGTGCTAAACACAAACCTCCATTCTGACAAATTCCTTCAGTACAGATTACAGGTAAGCAATCTTCCTCAGTCTCTGATCCTGTATTCAGAGTACGATTCCCTGTGGAGCACTCAAAACATGTTGTCCGACCCTCAAAAGGTTGATAGAAGTTGAAGGGGCAGGGTGCACATGGTTCTAGTCCTGTATCAGAGTAACTTCCCATTATGCACTTCCTACGACACATCTGCTGTGAGGCAGTGGCAGCCGTATGAGTGAAAGTCTCTGGTGGACAAGCCTGGCATTTCTTGAAACCATCAATAGGAGGATCTTCTGTGTAGGAATTATGTGGACAGTTGAGGCATGGTACTAGACCTGTTGGTGAATAAGTACCATAACCACATACTGGAACACAGTCCACGACAGATTTGCTACCTTCATTGTAAGTGTACATGCCAGATGGGCATTGTTTGCAGGCACCTTGGCGACTCTGATCCTGGTAGAATCCTCTAAGACAAGGTGAACAATTTTTTTCTTCTCGGCGTGCAAAGGTACCAGCAGGGCAGTGAAGACATCGTGGCAAATCAGCTGCCTCTGTGTTGAGAACCTCTCCAACATTGCAAGTGAACCCTCTGGTGACATTGGAACTGAGAGCACGCATGGGTGGACAAAAGTTGCCTGCAGATGAAAGACTGAGGATGGGTTCGATCACAGCAGAGGTAGACGGTACACTCAGGTCAAAAATGAGTGATAGTGTGGAACCACAGAGCTCATACAACAGTTTCTGTTTAACTTCTGGAGTCAAACGAACCACATATTGAACCTCTACTGCATTTTCTTGTGCAAGATTAAGTTTGGTATCATGGAAAACAATATCAATTGCTACATTAACAGCAGCAGAGCAGCGGCTCGAGAGTACACCATTGAGACCTTCATAATACTGCTGCAGTAGAGACTTATACTGAGGAAGACAAGTGGGCTGTACTGCACCATTAGCTCGGTACATAACAGATGCCAAGACATCATAACTAGCTTCCTGGGTGTCCTCGCTCACACAATCAGGAACCACTCGCGTGGGTAGCCAGGAGGTTTCTATGGTGCAAGTGAAGGCCTTGGTTGGCACGTTGTCAGTGAATCTAAAGCCATCATTGCATTTTGCAAAACACTCTATACTTTTACCATCATCAGATACACAATTTATTTTCCCATTTGCTGGTTCCTTTAATTCCCAGTCAACACATGCAGTTGCCTGCACAGCAACTTGGAAGTTACAGGACGCAGTGTTTCCTGAGGGGTCAGTGGCAGTGACGCTAACATTCTCATAACCTCCAACTCTAATAAGGGCAACCTCAGGTATCACTCTCAGCTGGAATTGTCCACTATTGTCACTGGCATTAACACTAGATAATGTGATTGAGGAGTTGAAGTTGACACGGTAATTTTCTTGCTGCTCAACCAGTGCAATAACATAACTCTGAGGACAGGTAATTGAAGGAGGAATGTCATCAGGAACAGTAATGTTGATCTGGCAAATGGCAACATTTCCATCAAAATCAAATGCCAAATATTCAACCATCATGTCCTTGAAAATGTGCATGGGGGGTTGGAAGCCAGCTGGTCGGACCTCAGTGCGAGCAATCATGCCAGAGTTATCGTATGCAGTTGGCACTGTGAAGTTGACGTTCTGGAAGCCATCAACACCTTTCTGGACAACAATGGGATTAATGGGACAGTTTGCAAACTGTGGTGGTTCATTATCAACACATACAGGGTAGCCCATGTCATAGCCAAGTAGGCGTTTCTCTGGTGGTTCATCTTCACAACCCATCAATTCAAATTTAAGGCATGGATTCTTATCATAGCTGACAATGCCAAGAATAACAAAGCGTGCTGTCACCACAGTTGGAAGTGTAATCATTGCTAGCTCACCATAGTTCCCTGGGTCTCTAGCTGTAAGATTAAAGTTAGGGAAATAAACAATGTAATTTTCTTCTTCCTGTCCCTTATAAAAGAAGCGAATTTCTGTTGGTCTCCCAACAACATCATTTGTAATAACCCCTTTCACTAAAACAGCTTTGATCCTGTGTACTGTTCCCAGGTCAACAGTGACATATGTAAAGGCTTCTGTCTTTCCACACCACCCTGTAGCAGAGTTTAGACGAATATTGAAAGCCTCATAATTGCCTCGCTCAGATGTGGCATTGATAGCTGAGGACGGAATCTTACCCGATGCTATTCCAATTGGAGCAACGACACGACATTCTGGTTCACGGATGCAGTGAATGGGCTCATCTGTAATGGGGATATATCCTGGACGTGTACATTCAAACTTCACTAAGGATCCTTGCTCATAGCTAGAGGCAATTTGAATACCCTCAGGTGGGTGGCCTGGATCAGAACATACAGGACCCTCACATCTCAGGTCACCAAAGTCCCAGTTACCATCAGCCTGACAGGTAACTGCATTATCATTTCTGCTGGTTTGGCCAGCAAGGCTGAATGTTTCCTCACAACCAAAGAAAAAGGATGACTGATACCGAGTGTCTTTGGTGTAACCATATGTAGCTCCAGGTGTCTCTGCTGGTACACCACAATCCACACGAGGGCATTCTGGAGGTATGCCTGCCATCCAATACTCTGAGTAGCCTAGCTGAGGATCATACACACACTCACGAAATCCTGATGTTAATGTATTCCTTAATGGTCTGCCTTCCTGATTACAGGTAATTGTTTCATTTTCCATGAATGGGATCACCAAAGCATCAGGCTTTGCAAAATGCACTGTAAGGTGTTCTTCTGGATTGTCCTGCAATGGTTCACAGGATGCATACTGACATTCAGGCAAAGTGCCATTCCAAACACCATTACTGGTGCATGCTAGTGTACTAGAGCCAATCATAACATATCCAAAATTGCACTGAAAGGTAACAAGATCACCGTAATGATACATATCACGAGTGTCTAATAATACTCCATTAGATAATGACTCCAATGCTGGACACATCTTCCGTACACATGTCTTGTTCAAGCGATAAGTGTCGCCATCACGTAGACCAGATTCATATTTCTCAATGTGAAACCCAGCTGTTCCATTTTTAGTGAAGAGATCATAGCCAACATTACACATGCAAGAGAAAGATCCTGGAGAATTGATACAGCGCTGATCACAACCTCCATTATTATCTTCACATTCATTGATATCTACACAACCTTGACGTGCACATCCCATGAGTTCAAACTTGAGGCAGGGCGCTGTTTCATATTTAGCAATATTAAGACGGATATAACGAGCTTCAACAGGAGTGGGGAGGTTTACTACTGACAGAGATACATCTGAAATAATGCGAAATTCAACTGGTGAATCATCACGATTGGTGTACTCATGAAACACATCAGTCAAATCATCTGTATATTGTATCCGGATAGATTTAGCAAATGCACTTTGACCATCAGGCCGCTCCACAGGCTGGGTACGGAAGCCAATGATTACTGTGGGAACACGCAGATCAACCATAACCCAGTTTCGACCTGGTTCCTGCTCAGCACCACACCAGCCCAGTTGAGAGTTGAGACGCACACTCTGCAATATACAAAATTGAGCAATTTTTATAATGTGGAAAAGAGTTTGAGCTACGTGCCTGACCAATAAATACAGTGGACCCTCGACCAGCGATATTAATCCGTTCCTGAGAGTTCATCGTTAATCAAAATTATTGTTAGTCGAGTTAATTTTCCCCATAAGAAATAATGGAAATCAAATTAATCCGTGCAAGACACCCAAAAGTATTGAAAAAAAAATTTTTACCACATGAAATATTAATTTTAATACACACAAACTGAAGAAGACATGCACAGTTACATGACATTTACCTTTATTGAAGATCTGGTGATGATTGATGGGATGGGAGGAGGGGAGAGTGTTGATGGTGTTAGTGTTTAGAAGGGGAATCCCCTTCCATTAGGACTTGAGGTGGCAAGTCCTTTTTTGGGGTTACTTCCCTTCTTCTTTTAATGCCACTAGGACCAGCTTGAGAGTCACTGGACCTCTGTCGCACAACATATCTGTCCATAGAGGCCTGTACCTCCCGTTCCTTTATGACATTCCTAAAGTGTTTCACAACGTTGTCAGTGTCACAATTAAACACTTGTTCAGGTTTCAATTCTTCACTGTCTATGTACTCCTTGAATTCCTGCACATATTTTTCAGCTGCTTTTTGGTCCAAACTGGCAGCCTCACCATGCCTTATCACACTATGTATGCCACTACGATTCTTAAATCTCTCAAAGCAACCTTTGCTGGCCTTAAATTCACTCACATCACCACTAGTTGCTGGCATTTTTCTAATTAAATCCTCATGCAACTTCCTAGCCTTTTCACATATGATAGCTTGAGAGATGCTATCTCCTGCTATCTGTTTTTCGTTTATCCACACCAATCACCTTCAAAACTACCATTAGAAAACATCTTATCTCCCTGATACACCCCGTCAACTAACTACACGAATACCACCTGGTGGTTCACACTTACACTCACTCACCCATTTGACCATAAACAGAAATATTAATCTCAATCTTAAAATAATGAATCCTGTGATACTCCAATACTGAAACTATGTACTATGCCAAAACAAAAGCATTCACATTGCTAAACTCACAAACTAGTATTTAGTCACTTAGCCATAATACCAACTTACCTCATAATTTGTAATATTTTAAAATAAAGAATTAAACTAAGTCTGCCCGAAATGCCTAGCCATGCTAGGTGTTCTAGTGGTACACTCTGTATCATTATTTTACTACATGTAAACCACACAATAACCAAATTCTGTAAACTCAGCATTGTAATCCTTATAGAGAATAAACTTTGAATTGAACTGAATTGAATAACAGTCTCTCAACATCTTCTATCACTTGCGATCTCAGTTTCGAAAACATAGTTGCACCTTTGGCAAGAACAGCTTCCTTGATTGCCGTTTTCTTGGCCACAATAGTAGCGATGGTTGACTGGGGTTTTGTGTACAACCTGGCCAGCTCGGAGACACGCACTCCACTTTCACACTTAGCAATGATCTCTTCCTTCATTTTTTTTTTTTTATTATCACACTGGCCGATTCCCACCAAGGCAGGGTGGCCCGAAAAAGAAAAACTTTCACCATCATTCACTCCATCACTGTCTTGCCAGAAGGGTGCTTTACACTACAGTTTTTAAACTGCAACATTAACACCCCTCCTTCAGAGTGCAGGCACTGTACTTCCCATCTCCAGGACTCAAGTCCAGCCTGCCGGTTTCCCTGAACCCCTTCATAAATGTTACATTGCTCACACTCCAACAGCACGTCAAGTATTAAAAACCAATTGTCTCCATTCACTCCTATCAAATACGCTCATGCATGCTTGCTGGAAGTCCAAGCCCCACGCACACAAAACCTCCTTTACCCCCTCCCTCCAACCCTTCCTAGGCTGACCCTTACCCCACCTTCCCTCCACTACAAACTTATACACTCTCAAAGTCACTGTGTTGTTCCATTCTCTCTACATGTCCGAACCACCTCAACAACCCTTCCTCAACCCCACCTCATATTTGTTTGTTATTATTATTATCACACTGGCTCATTCCCACCAAGGCAGGGTGGCCCGAAAAAGAAAAACTTTCACCATCATTTACTCCATTACTGTCTTGCCAGAAGGGTGCTTTACACTACAGTTTTTAAACTGCAACATTAAGACCCCTCCTTCAGAGTGCAGGCACTGTACTTCCCATCTCCAGGACTCAAGTCCGGCCTGCCGGTTTCCCTGAACCCCTTCATAAATGTTACTTTGCTCACACTCCAACAGCACGTCAAGTATTAAAAACCATTTGTCTCCATTCACTCCTATCAAACACGCTCACGCATGCCTGCTGGAAGTCCAAGCCCCTCGCACACAAAACCTCCTTTACCCCCTCCCTCCAACCTTTCCTAGGCCGACCCCTACCCCGCCTTCCTTCCACTACAGACTGATACACTCTTGAAGTCACTCTGTTTCGCTCCATTCTCTCTACATGTCCGAACCACCTTAACAACCCTTCCTCAGCCCTCTGGACAACAGTTTTGGTAATCCCGCACCTCCTCCTAACTTCCAAACTACGAATTCTCTGCATTATATTCACACCACACATTGCCCTCAGACATGACATCTCCACTGCCTCCAGCCTTCTCCTCGCTGCAACATTCATCACCCATGCTTCACACCCATATAAGAGCATTGGTAAAACTATACTCTCATACATTCCCCTCTTTGAAGAATTGAGTCACTTATGCAACATATGGGAATCTTGAAGAAACGTTTCGCCACACAGTGGCTTCATCAGTCCAATACAAAGATTCCCATATGTTGCATAAGTGTCTCAATTCTTCAACTTGTCGGTTTTCTAAACCATTCATCACATTCCCCTCTTTGCCTCCAAGGACAAAGTTCTTTGTCTCCACAGACTCCTAAGTGCACCACTCACCCTTTTCCCCTCATCAATTCTATGATTCACCTCATCTTTCATAGACCCATCCGCTGACACGTCCACTCCCAAATATCTGAATACATTCACCTCCTCCATACTCTCTCCCTCCAATCTGATATCCAATCTTTCATCACCTAATCTTTTTGTTATCCTCATAACCTTACTCTTTCCTGTATTCACTTTTAATTTTCTTCTTTTGCACACCCTACCAAATTCATCCACCAATCTCTGCAACTTCTCTTCAGAATCTCCCAAGAGCACAGTGTCATCAGCAAAGAGCAACTGTGACAACTCCCACTTTATGTGTGATTCTTTATCTTTTAACTCCACGCCTTTTGCCAAGACCCTCGCATTTACTTCTCTTACAACCCCATCTATAAATATATTAAACAACCATGGTGACATCACACATCCTTGTCTAAGGCCTACTTTTACTGGGAAATAATTTCCCTCTTTCCTACATACTCTAACTTGAGCCTCACTATCCTTGTAAAAACTCTTCACTGCTTTCAGTAACCTACCTCCTACACCATACACCTGCAACATCTGCCACATTGCCCCCCTATCCACCCTGTCATACGCCTTTTCCAAATCCATAAATGCCACAAAGACCTCTTTAGCCTTATCTAAATACTGTTCACTTATATGTTTCACTGTAGGTAGTAGGTTGGTAGACAGCAACCACCCAGGGAAGTACTACCGTCCTGCCAGATGACTGTGAAACAGAAACCTGTAACTGTTTTGCATGATGGTAGGATTGCTGGTTTCTTTTTCTGTCTCATAAACACGCTAGATAACAGGGATATCTTGCTACTTCTACTTACACTTTGGTCACACTTCACAGACACGCACATGCATATATATAAAACATACATCTATTATATATATATATATATATATATATATATATATATACACATATGTATATATATAATATATATATATATATATATATATATATATATATATATATATATATACATACATGCATATATATATACATACATCACCGTGGTTGTTTAATATATTTATAGATGGGGTTGTAAGAGAAGTAAATGCGAGGGTCTTGGCAAGAGGCGTGGAGTTAAAAGATAAAGAATCACACACAGGGTGGGAGTTGTCACAGCTGCTCTTTGCTGATGACACTGTGCTCTTGGGAGATTCTGAAGAGAAGCTGCAGAGATTGGTGGATGAATTTGGTAGGGTGTGCAAAAGAAGAAAATTAAAGGTGAATACAGGAAAGAGTAAGGTTATGAGGATAACAAAAAGATTAGGTGATGAAAGATTGAATATCAGATTGGAGGGAGAGAGTATGGAGGAGGTGAACGTATTCAGATATTTGGGAGTGGACGTGTCAGCGGATGGGTCTATGAAAGATGAGGTGAATCATAGAATTGATGAGGGAAAAAGAGTGAGTGGTGCACTTAGGAGTCTGTGGAGACAGAGAACTTTGTCCTTGGAGGCAAAGAGGGGAATGTATGAGAGTATAGTTTTACCAACGCTCTTATATGGGTGTGAAGCATGGGTGATGAATGTTGCAGCGAGGAGAAGGCTGGAGGCAGTGGAGATGTCATGTCTGAGGGCAATGTGTGGTGTGAATATAATGCAGAGAATTCGTAGTTTGGAAGTTAGGAGGAGGTGCGGGATTACCAAAACTGTTGTCCAGAGGGCTGAGGAAGGGTTGTTGAGGTGGTTCGGACATGTAGAGAGAATGGAGCGAAACAGAATAACTTCAAGAGTGTATCAGTCTGTAGTGGAAGGAAGGCGGGGTAGGGGTCGGCCTAGGAAGGGTTGGAGGGAGGGGGTAAAGGAGGTTTTGTGTGCGAGGGGCTTGGACTTCCAGCAGGCATGCGTGAGCGTGTTTGATAGGAGTGAATGGAGACAAATGGTTTTTAATACTTGACGTGCTGTTGGAGTGTGAGCAAAGTAACATTTATGAAGGGATTCAGGGAAACCGGCAGGCCGGACTTGAGTCCTGGAGATGGGAAGTACAGTGCCTGCACTCTGAAGGAGGGGTGTTAATGTTGCAGTTGAAAACTGTAGCGTGGAGCACCCTTCTGGCAAGACAGTGATGGAGTGAATGATGGTGAAAGTTTTTCTTTTTCGGGCCACCCTGCCTTGGTGGGAATCGGCCAGTGTGATAATAAAAAAAAAAAAAAATAATAAAAATAAATCTAGGTTTTCCCCTTTTTCTAAATAGCTCTTGTTCTTCTTTATTTCTTCTATTGTCCATGGGGAAGTGGAAAAGAATCTTTCCTCCGTAAGCCATGTGTGTCGTATGAGGCGACTAAAATGCCGGGAGCAATGGGCTGGTAACCCCTTCTCCTGTAGACATTTACTAAAAAAGAGAAGAAAAACTCTTTCTTCATATCCATAGTAATTCTCACCCTTTTTCCTGTAGGGTTGGCACTAGAAGCTTTCTTGGGGCCCATGGTGACTTATTTTGCAGGTGCAATCACTAAAAAGGCTGTGATAATATGAAATGTTCCGATTGTATGCTTGGAAGCGACCGCGGTGGCTGGCCGGCTTGTAAACACTTACCAGAAGTGGACGCGTCTCAGACGGAACGAATAGTGTTGGTCAAGTTTTTTAGCGCTTGTCGAGGCAAAAATTTTGCGTTAAAATGTATCGCTGGTCGGATTTATCATTAATCGATGCCATCGTTGGTCGAGGGTCTACTGTATAAGAAGCACATTTGATTTAAGCATAAACAGAAGTGATATGGGTTTGCTTTTATTTATTTAGCATTGTATTATTACTACCAAATCCAACTGATTCCAGAGCTGTTCCCTGTTAAGATTGTTAAGTAAGTGACCTACTCCATGGTACTGTGCCTTTTTGTTCTTTAAACACTGATAATAATTACAGTCTAGGTAGTAGGTTGGTAGACAGCAACCACCCAGGGAGGTACTACCGTCCTGCCAAGTGAGTGTAAAACGAAAGCCTGTAATTGTTTTACATGATGGTAGGATTGCTGGTGTCTATTTTTCTGTCTCATGAACATGCAACTTCTACTTACACTTAGGTCACACTACACATACATGTCTTTCTTTCTTTCAACACACCGGCCGTATCCCACCGAGGCGGGGTGGCCCAAAAGGAAAAACGAAAGTTTCTCCTTTTACATTTAGTAATATATACAGGAGAAGAGGTTACTAGCCCCTTGCTCCCGGCATTTTAGTCGCCTCTTACAACACGCATGGCTTACGGAGGAAGAATTCTGTTCCACTTCCCCATGGAGATAAGAGGAAATAAACAAGAATAAGAACTAGAAAGAAAATAGAAAAAAACCCAGAGGGGTGTGTATATATGTGCTTGTACATGTATGTGTAGTGTGACCTAAGTGTAAGTAGAAGTAGCAAGACATACCTGAAATCTTGCATGTTCATGAGACAGAAAAAAGGACACCAGCAATCCTACCATCATGTAAAACAATTACAGGCTTTCGTTTTACACTCACTTGGCAGGACGGTAGTACCTCCCTGGGCGGTTGCTGTCTACCAACCTACTACCTATAACACATACATGTACAAGCATATATATACACACCCCTCTGGGTTTTCTTCTATTTTCTGACTAGTTCTTGTTCTTGTTTATTTCTTTGTCTCCATGGGGAAGTGGAACAGAATTCTTCCATTTGACTATAAACACAGAAATACGAATCTTAATCTTAAAATAATGAATCCTAACTAGTCATAAGTTTGCCTGTGATACTCTAATATAGAAACTATGTATTGTGCCAAAACAAAAGCATTCACATTGCTAAACTCACAAACTAGTATTTTGTCACTTAGCCATAATACCAAATTACTCCATAATTTGTAATAATTTAGAGTTAATAATTAATCTAAGTCTGCCCGAAATGCCTAGCCATGCTAGGTGTCCTAGTGGCCCCCTCTGTAATTAGTATTTTATTACATGTAAACCACACAATAACCAAAATCTGAAAACCCTGCATTGTAATCCTTATAGAGAATAAACTTGATTGACTGATTGTAAGAGGCGACTAAAATGCCAGGAGCAAGGGGCTAGTAACCCCTTCTCCTGTATAAATTACTAAATTTAAAAAGAGAAACTTTCGTTTTTCTTTTTGGGCCACCCTACCTAGGTGGGATATGGTCGGTTTGTTGAAAGAATAATTACAGTGTATGAATTAAAACTGATGCTTCCTTGAAGGTGTACAGTATTACTTTTGCTTAAGAAAACTTACATTCTTCTCATAGCCTGCAGCAGTGGAAGATACAAATATTGCATCATCTGGAATACCACCATCAGATACCCCAAGATCTCCCCGAGGTCGACAGTCAAGAGTAGGCTGAAAGCCTGGCTTGCACATGCAAGAGAAAGCTCCAGGGGTGTTCTTGCATTCAGTCGAGGCAGCATCACACTGGGCAGCATCACATTCATTGATGTCTACAACAAAACAAATTAAAGTAAATTAATAAATTAAACATAAAAATACTATACTGTAGGGTGGAAGTGATATGGTGATACAGACAAGTTGTAGGTGACAAGGCACACACTTACACACATCAAAACTATATTAAGGAAATATTTTTCCATAAGTAGCTTCTTCAGAAGCTACTCATATAAGTTCATTAGTTAAAAAAAATCATTTTTTGTGGCATTTTGTCATATTTGCAGTCATATGCATATTTTATAATGATTTCTTAATAAATATTAGTACAGTATACTGCAGGCAAGACATGTACAGACTGATCAAGACATTTACCATGAGTGTCTCCTTCAGAAGCTTTCTTTCTCTTTCAACAAACTGGCCATATCCCACCAATACAGGGTGACCCAAAAAGAAAACAAGAGTTTCTCTTTTTAACTTTAGTAATGCATACAGGAGAAGGGGTAACTAGCCCCATGCTCCTGGCATTTTAGTTGCCTCTTATGACATGCATGACTTACAGAGGAAGAATTCAGTGCCACTTTCCCATGGAGATAAGAGGTAATAAACAAGAACAAGAACTAATAAGAATATAGACGAAAACCCAGAGAGGTGTGTATATACATGCTTGTACATGCATTTGTAGCGTGACCTAAGCGTAAGTAGAAGCAGCAAGACCTACCTGAACTCTTGCATGTTTATAAAACAGAAAAAAAGACACCAGAATCCTACCATCACGTAAAACAAGTACAGGCTTCCGTTTTACACTCACTTGGTAGGATGGTAGTACCTCCCTAGGTGGCTGCTGTCTACCAACCTACTACCTACCTCCTTCAAAAGCTACTCATGGTAAATGTCTTGATCAGTCCATATAAGTCTTTACCTACAATATACTGTACTAATATTTATAAAGAAATGAAATCATTATAAAATATGCATATGACAAAATGAAACATTAAAAATTAAATCTTTTAACTAATGAACATAACTATTATTTTTTATTTCATAGAAGAGCATTCAACCCATAGGGGTCATACAGTGCCTTGAGATAAGGAAGTGTAGTGCCAATTCTCTGAATCATGAGCCCTCACCCAGCATCAAGGCACTTACTTCCCTTAAGGGGGATACGATGATTAAATTTTATGTAGGAAAACTTGAAAAAGCCTAAAGTTTAATTTAAAACCACACAAATATAGTCTTAGATATGGCCAGGATTCAAATGCTATGATACTTAAGATGTTCTAATCATCTTATCAGTTAATTCAAGAGGCATCATACCAAATGACTGACTGATGGTTAAGAGGCAAGGCTAACATACTGAAGCTTAACCATCTAAACAGTTTAGTGAGCAAACATATCCATAAAGAGGTGAAAAATGTAAACTAACCTTCACAAGTTGGTAGATTAAGAAACAGTTGTTCAGGGCCACACTTAATAATGGAGGAACCAAGCAACTGATAGCCACGATGGCACTGTACCCTGGCCTCATCTCCAAAGTAGTAGTCACGAGTGAGGTCAGCAACGAAGCCATTAGCAATCTAAGAAAGAAGTGATAGTTTCTTAGTAACACAGTACTAGAAGTTAATATATCTATCTGCAGTAGTTACCTCCCAGCCTTTATTTCTCCTATAACTAGTAATATACTTTGGTTTAGAAAACTTAGCATTTGAAATGAACTTGAAAAAATTAATTCTGATCATTAACAAAATATAGCAATCAACCTTGTGCATTAAATATACAAAGTCCTTGTAATGCCCATGGTCCTCATTTTGTGTGCTATCACTCCATGATTGCATTTGTCAAATGCCTTTACAAAATCTTTGTAAATCACATCTGCGTTTTGGTCGTCTTCCAATGCCTCCGTAATTCTGTCATAATGATTCAGCAGCTGTGACAGGCATAATCGTCCTGCTCTAAAACCATGCTGGTTCAGGTTATGCTGGTCCATGAAATTTGTAATCTGCTGTTTCATCACTCTTTCAAAGATTTTTATGATGTGAGAAGTTAGGGCTACTAGTCTGCAATTTTTAGCTAGTGCTCTACTACCTCCCTTATGCAAAGGAGCTATATCTACACTCTTTAAGGCCTCTGGTATTTCACCTATGTCTAAGCTCTTTCTCCAAAGAATACTGAGGGCTCATGCTAGTGGTACTTTGCACTTCTTTATAAATAGAGCATTCCATGAATCTGGACCAGGTGCTGAGTGAGTGGGCATGTTGTCCATTTCTTTTTCGAAATCTATGGAATGAAAAATATTTCTGCATTTTCTACCTGCTGTCATTTAGTGGGTTGCTGAACACCAACTGATATTGTTCTTTTAGGAGTTCACTCATATCCTGTTCACTGTCAGTACATGAATCTCCTCTCAATAATGGTCCAATTGAGAGGAGATTTGTATACTAACGATGAACAGGAAATGAGTGAAATCCTAAAGGCCTTGAAGGCTACCTGTATTCTTCTACTCAGTAATACTCTAAAGTCCTAAAATAGTGATCAAAGTAAACTCTCCTTGGTACATACATATACACCTCTGCTCACAGTCAACATACATCAAGAAAAATATTCTGCAATGTATAAACACAATGCTGTAACAACAGCTCTTGACCATGTACAGTAGAGCCCCACTATATGGCAGGTTAGGTTCCAGGCTATTGCCGGAAAGCGGACATCGCCGGAAAGCAGAACGCCATTTTTTCCACTGATGAATACATATAAATGTCAGATAACAAGTATACGCTAACATATATTAAGTTAGCAATAGAATTAGGCATTAAAAAACAATAAAGTAAAAAAAAGAGTACACTCACTACTTACCTTAAAATATTTGTAGCCATAATGTAGGGTGAGAAATGAGTAGTGTTTATTGTAAGAAGTCAGGTGTGGTAGGTAAGGTAGCCCACCAGGCCACCCCACCCACACATAATACATTACAATTCAAATATTATATTATATGACCCCCTAGTCTATTAAAACATTTGCCAATCCATAAAATATTACTGTTTGAACCATTAATTGTAATACTGTTTTTATTATGTTCAACTTCAATATTATTATTCTTATAAACCTCCACCATGACTACCTCCTATTTTTTTTTATTATTAACACATCGGCCGATTCCCACCAAGGCAGGGTGGCCCGAAAAAGAAAAACTTTCATCATCATTCACTCCATCACTGTCTTGCCAGAGGGGTGTTTCACATTACAGTTATAGAACTGCAACATTAACACCCCTCTTTCAGAGTGTAGACACTGTACTTCCCATCTCCAGGACTCAAGTCTGGCCTGCCGGTTTCCCTGAATCCCTTCATAAATATTACTTTGCTCACACTCCAACAGTACGTCAAGTAGTATTAAAAACCAATTGTCTCCATTCACTCCTATCAAATACGCTCATGCACGCTTGCTTGAAGTCCAAGCCCCACGCACACAAAACCTCCTTTACCCCCTCCCTCCAACCCTTCCTAGGCCGACCCCTACCACACCTTCCCTCCACTACAGACTTATACACTCTCAAAGTCATTCTGTGTTGTTCCATTCTCTCTACATGTCTGAACCACCTCAACAACCCTTCCTCAACCCCACCTCATATTTGTATTAAGATAAAATAATAATTTATTAAAGTTAACCACTCTTATCTTGTCTAAACTTATGTAGATATTATGTGCTAGTAGTAGTTTGCCTGAATGCCCTGGCATGATAGTGGCTTTCTTAACAAATCAAAACTGTAATTACACATTGTAACCTTTGCAAAGAAATAAAATCTTTAATCTTTTTCTTTAAAACAAACCAGGTGGCACACGGTGGCCACATAAGAGAGACAGGCGGAGGGAACCGTATAGAGAGCTTTAGTAAAAATTTGAAATGCCCATATTAGTGGAATGCCATAAGGCAAAACGCTGTAAAGTGGGGGCCCTACTGTATATATTAATACAGCCTCTTCTCACTTAGTGATGTACAGTGGACCCTCAGTTAACGTTGCCATCAGATAGCGATAAAATAGGATACAGATACGTTTTTGCATCAAAATACTGGCTCGGCTAACGATAAAAAACTCAGTTAAGGACATTTGTCCAGAATGTGTCTGCGCGGCTTGAGCCGCCCGGGCCGCCCGGCCACTCCAGTGTGGCCAGTGTGCCATTGTTTACAAAGTCAGTGTGGACAATTCCACGCGTACATGTGATATATTTTGTATTATTCCATTGTTTTTAGTGCTTGTAACTGCTAAATAAGCCACCATGGGCCTAAAGAAAGCTTCTAGTGGCAGCCATGTGGTAAAGAGGGTAAGAAATACTATTGAATTGAAGAAAGAGATCATTGCAAAACATGAAAGTGGAGTGTGTGTCTCCGAGTCGGCCAGGTTATATAACAAACCCCATTCAACCATCGCTACTATCTTGGTCAGGAAAAAAGCAATCAAGGATGCTGTTGTTGTGAATGGTGCAAATATGCTTACAAAACAGAGATCACAAATACTACTCGAAGATGTGGAGAGACTGTTGTTGGTGTGGTTTAATGAGAAACAATTATCCGAGAAACAATTAACCCCAGAGGGTTAGCCACCCAGGATAGCCCAAGAAAGTCAGTGCAACATCGAGGACTGTCTAACTTATTTCCATTGGGGGCCTTAATCTTGTCCCCAAGGATGCAACCCACACCAGTTGATTAACACTCAGGTGAGCAGGAAAAAATGCCTGGAACTAGTGCTCATATTGGTGAATTTAAGGCCAGCAATGGTTGGTTTGAGAGATTTAAGAATCATAGTGGCATACACAGTGTGATAAGGCACGGAGAAGCTGAAAAATTCCAACTCCAACAAGTGTTCAATTGTGACGAAACAGTCCTGTTCTGGAAGAAAATGCAAAACAGGACCTACATTACTTAGGAGGAAAAGGCACTCCCAGGACACAAGCCTATGAAAGACAGGCTAACTCTCATGTTTTGTTGTAATGCTAGTGGGGATTGCAAAGTGAAGCCTTTCTCATGTATCATTCTGAAAATCCCAGTGTTCAAGGAAAACCGTGTCTCATCACTCATCAATACTCTTCAAAAAAGGTAAGTGTCATTTTAGTATTTATTTATGTATTTATTCTTCATGTCTCATTGTTTTCCGTATAGGGAACTGTATATTTCATGTAAAAAAATGATTTTTTTAATACTTTTGGGTGTCTGGAACTGATTAATTGGATTTCCATTATTTCTTATGGTGAAAATTAATTTGGATAATGATAAAATCGGTTAAGGACAAGCTCTCTGGAACGGATTAATATTGTTAACTGAGGGTCCGCTGTACTTGTTTACTGACGACTCAGACTCACGACAGGCTCTTTGACCAGTATTCATACCTAAATATTGTATGTTAGAGCTGATTTCCTCTATTCTGTTTATTACAATATACAGTACACTGCTGTATAAACATTTAAAAATATACCAGAAATGCTATAAATGGTGCAAAGGTGACATTAAAACAATATCAAAGATGGTTGACACAAACCCACTACCATTATAGTATGCTCCTCACTTACCGACCATTTACAGATGAGGTATTAGGAATGGAACTCCGCCGTTAAGTGAGGAGAGGCTGTATAACATATTTCTTCATCTTATTTATTATAATGTATGTCTATGTTAAATATAGGCAATAAAGAACTCACACTCTCTTTAAATCTAAGACAAAATATGGTAAATAAACTGACTTGTGATACAAAATATAATAAGGTTGTACTAGCTCTTTGTCATACCTTCGGATACTCATGACACTTGATTCTGGAGCAAGTGGGCAGGTCACCTGACCAGGAACCATTGGACATACAGTGGATGACAGGGAGGCCAGTACGGTAGTAGCCAGGCTCACACTCAAACCTCACCACTGTGCCATAACTACGTCCTCCACCATTAAGCACTGTCTGGTTTGCATGTGGTGTTTCTGGCAGAGGTGAGCACTGTGATGCTGTTGTGAAAAAAATACAAAATTCAATTATATAACAAGAGTCACAATTTAAGTTTTTTTTTTTTTTTAACATGATGCTCGTGTCCCAGTGAAGCAAGGTGACCCAATAAAATAAAATAAAAATAAAACAAAATAAAATAATTATTTCTTTGCTAAGGTTACAATGTGTGTTTGCAATACTCAGTACACACATACTCACTTATGTATTCCTGCATCATAATTTCAGCAATTACTTTGAACCTTTTATCCATTGTTGACAGGAATATAATTGAATCATTGTTTTCACAAAAAGCATTTTTGAATATATGAATATATCTTTTGGCTTATATAAATTAGATTCACTTATAATTAATAATCTACTGTACAACTATGATATAATTAATATTCTACTGTACAACTATGACATAATACTTAGTGTTAAGTAGTCTGTAAGCCAATAATGTTAAGTCGGCCCATAATGCATAGTCATAATAGAGGCTCTCTTTGCATTGCAACCCATTATTGTAAATACAAAATCTCAATGTACTATTTGCAAAGACATAAATAAATAAACAATGAATAGTATCATGATATGATTGGAGCAAAGAAACCCACTATCATGCAGAGGCATTTCAGGCAGACTTAACTTATAGACTACTTAAGTCTAGACAGGTGAAGAGTGGTAGAATACAAACAATCAATATTCATTCTATTGTTAATATGAGGTAGTACAATTTATGACAATCTTACTTTTTAAGTACGATATTAGGTTCTTTTACAATGATAGAATACAAATATTCTATACAGTAGGGCTCCACTTATACAGCGAGTTAGGTTCCAGGCTGTCGCTGGAAAGCAGACATCGCCGGAAGGCAGAAAGCCATTTTTTTCCATTTATAAATGCATATAAATGCCAGACAACAAGTTTACACTAAATTATGTTAAGTTAGTAATAGAACCAGGCATTAAAAACACACAAAGTAAAATACATTCACAGTAAATTCATTACTTATCTTAAAGTATTTGTAATCTTAATGTAGGGAGAGAGGTGAGTAGTACTTATTTGTAGGAAGTCAGGTGCAGGTATCCCAGGTGTAGGTAGCCCTGGCTCCCTGTCTCATACTTAATATGGACATACAGTAAACTCATTATTTACCTTAAAATATGTGTAGTCTTAATATAGGAAGAGAGGTGAGTAGTATTTGTAGGAAGTCAGTGTAGGTAGCTGGTAGGTGTAGCCCGTCTGGGCTACACCTACCGGCTACCTACACTGTGGCCCAGAGCCATATTATTAACATTGACATGCCTTGTTCACTGAATTTAATAATTTCTAACAACTACCTTTAGATGCCATCATAAACGAAGGAAGAAGTAATGAATAATTCATGCTGAAAATTGTAAACAAAAGCAGAATGAGGGGGTGGCTGGGTCAAACGCAGATTCATACACGTTTTCTCTGATGGCTGAGCAGAGAAAACGTAATGTTGTCCCTCCACCCGGCTACCACACAGGACCACAAGTATTATTATCAGAGCACACATAAAATATGCAATAAATGCCAGACAACAAGTTTACACTAACTTATATTAAGTTAGCAATAGAAATAGGCATTAAAAACACAATAAAAGGTAAGATACACACAGAGTACACTTATTACTTACCTTAAAATATTAATATTAATGTGTGAGAGGTGAGTGGCAGGGTGTTTATTGAATAAAATCAGAATGGCACACCATCATCCTCTAACTTGGCACTTAAAGCAAGAGGCTTACGACTTCTCTTTTTATCACAGCTAACCTTAGATGCCATCATCAATGAGAGCCAACTAGTTAACGAAAGAGTAAACGAGAGAGAGAACGAGATACAGAGTTAAGACAATGTAAGAACACAAACTGAACGGGTAGTGGATGATCACTTGGTCAGGCGAAATAAATGCATATTAATATGTGTCTACTTTTAGTTCATTCACGTCCATTTGTAAGAGTTTGTAAAACATTTACTTCAATATTTTTTTATTATAATAATAATTACCTCACAATACAAATACTCTTACATTGTGTACAAGTTAGTTCAGAATAAACAAACACAACACACCATTTTTAGAGTGAATGAAGATAATAATAACAATAATAATAATAATAATAATAATAATAATAATAATAATAATAATAATAATATTATTATCATTATTATTATTATTATTATTATTATTATTAATATTATTATTATTATTATTTATTATAAAAAGCACTAAACCCACAAGGGTCCTGAATTGTTATATACAGAGTAAAGGCATATGAAAAGAATATTTTTCTACAGGTATCCTCCAGTTTGACTAGAGAAAACGTAATTCTTCTGACACTACCTACACAACCGCTTTGTAAACAAATCTCATATTTACGTAAATTTTTATTCTGTGAGTGTATGTATCATCCTAGGTAGTAGGTTGGTAGACAGCAACCACCCAGGGAGGTACTACCGTCCTGCCAAGTGAGTGTAAAACGAAAGCCTGTAATTGTTTTACATGATGGTAGGATAGCTGGTGTCCATTTTTCTGTGTCATGAACATGCAAGATTTCAGGTATGTCTTGCTACTTCTACTTACACTTAGGTAACACTACACATACATGTACAAGCATATATATACACACCCCTCTGGGTTTTCTTCTATTTTGTTTCTAGTTCTTGTTCTTGTTTATTTCTTCTTATCTCCATGGGGAAGTGGAACAGAATTCTTCCTCCGTAAGCCATGCGTGTTGTAAGAGGCGACTAAAATGCCGGGAGCAAGGGGCTAGTAACCCCTTCTGCTGTATATATTACTAAATGTAAAAGGAGAAACTTTTGTTTTTCCTTTTGGGCCACCCCGCCTCGGTGGGATACGACCGGTGTGTTGAAAGAAAGAAGTATGTATCATGTTTATATGCTATGTAATAGGTTTCATATATAATTTTGAGGAAAATACATCTGCATTTTGTTTGTCTTCAAGAGCATCCAGGACTTTGTCATAGTGGGCCAGTAGTTGGGACAGGCAGGTACAACCTGGTCTAAACCCATGTTGCCCTCGGTTGTGTAACTGATGGGTTTCTAGATGAGTGGTGCTCTTGCTTCTTAGAACCCTTTCAAAGACTTTTATGATAAGGGATGTTAGCGCTATCGGTCTGTAGTTCCTTGCTATTGCTTTACTGCCATCTTTGTGGAGTGGGTCTATGTCTGTTGTTTCTAGCAGCTGTGGGATGACCTGTATCCATGCTCCCTCTCCACAGAATGCTAAAAGTACATGACAGGGGTTTCTTGCAGCTCTTGATGAACTAGGAGTTCCACGAGTCTAGACTTGGGGCAGAGTGCATGGGGCATGGGCATGTCATTTAGTGCCTTTTCGAAGTCATGTGGTGTTAGGATAATATCAGACAAGTTTGAATCTACTAAATTCTGAGTTTCAGTCATAAAAATTCATTTAGGTCTCCAACTCTTAGTCTGGTTAGCAGCTTGCTAAAAACTGAGTCATACTGGTACTTGAGTAACTCGCTCATTTCCTTGCTGTCATCTGTGTAAGACCCATTTCCTTATGTATTCAGTCTCAATGTCAGCATTCTTTTAATTAGAGTTATAGTACTGTATATAACATATGCATGTATTTATTTTCTTTTAAAACACTGGCTGTTTCCCCACTGAAGCAGGGTGACCCCAAAAAGTAGAAATGATTTCATAAAGTTTTTCTTTTTACATTTAACAAGTTATACACTCCCAGCATTTTAGTCAACTCATACAAGGCTTATGGAGGGACTCTTCTCCACTTCCCCATGGAGTCATGTATATACAGTGGAACCTTGGTGTTCGTAGGCCCTAGTCTGTATGTAAAACTATAGTTATTGTCATAAAATGTATGTTTGTTAATATTTTTGGGTGTCTAGAACAGATTAATTGGATTTACATTATTTTCTATAGAAAATATTAACAAAAAATACATTTTATAGAGAATAACTATAGTTAAACAAGTTAAGAAAGCCAAGGGAACAAATAGATTTGTCAGTTATAAACAGAGTAGGGGAGTTAGTAGATGGGGAGAAGGAGGTATTGGATAGATGGAGAGAATATTTTGAGGATCTTTTAAATGTCAACAAAGAACGAGAGGCAGTAATTTCATGCACTGCCAGGGAGGCATACCATCTTTCAGGAGTGAAGAAGAGCAGGACATGTGTGTGTGTGGGGGAGGTGTGTGAGGCATTACATAGAATGAAAGGGAGTAAAGCATCATGACAGAAATGTTAAAAGCAGGGGGAGATATAGTGTTGTAGTGGTTGGTATTTTTGTTTAATAAATGTATGAAAGAGGGGAAGGTACCTAGGGATTGGCAGAGAGCATGTATAGTTCCTTTATATAAAGGGAAGGGGGGCAAAAGAGATTGTAAAAATTATAGAGGAATAAGTTTACTGAGTATACCAGGAAAAGTGTACAGTAGGGTTATTATTGAAAGAATTAAAGGTAAGACAGAATGTAGGATTGCAGATGAGCAGGGAGGTTTTAGAGTGGGTAGGGGATGTGTAGATCAAGTGTTTACATTGAAGCATATATGTGAACATTATTTAGATAAAGGTAGGGAAGTTTTTGTTGCATTTATGGATTTAGAAAAGGCATATGATAGAATGGATAGGGGAGCAATGTGGCAGATGTTGCAAGTATATGAAATAGGTAGTAAGTTACTAAATGCTGTAAAGAGTTTTTATGAGGATAGTGAGGCTCAGGTTAGGGTGTGTAGAAGAGAGGGAGACTACTTCCCGGTAAAAGTAGGTCTTAGACAGAGATGTGTAATGTCACCATGGTTGTTTAATATATTTATAGATGGGGTTGTAAAAGAAGTAAATGCTAGGGTGTTCAGGAGAGGGGTGGGATTAACCCATAAACGGTCCAAACGTATATATACGTTTTTTCAACACTTGAAAGTATGTAAAAAAAGGAGATTTTTTTTTTTTTTACATTTGAAAACATGTAAAAAAACTTTGAACTACTTTTTTTTTTGTTATATTTGAAAATATGTAAAAAAAACGTAGATCTACTTTTGGAGCACTATGCATGTGAACGTAGATCTGCTTGGGCCATTTACGGGTTAAATTATGGGGAATCAAATACAAAATGGGAATTGACACAGTTACTGTTTGCTGATGATACTGTGCTTATGGGAGATTCTAAAGAAAAGTTGCAAAGGTTAGTGGACAAGTTTGGGAAAGTGTGTAAAGGTAGAAAGGTGAAAGTAAACATAGAAAAGAGGGTATCAAATGATTTAGATAAAGAAAAATTGGATATCAAATTTTAGAGAAAGAGTATGGAAGAAGTGAATGCCTTCAGATACGTATTTGGGAGTTGACGTGTCAGCGGATGACTGTATGAAGGATGAGGTTAACCACAGAATTGATGAAGGAAAAAATGTGAGTGGTGCATTGAGGTATATGTGGAGACAAAAAACATTATCTATGGAGGCAAAGAAGGGAATGTATGAATGTAAATGCTGCAGCGAGGAGACGATTGGAGGCAGTGGGGATGTCCTGTCTAAGGGCAATGTGTGATGTAAATATTATGCAGAAAATTTGGAGTATGGAAATTAGGAGGTGTGAAGTTAATACAAGTATTAGTCAGAGGGCTGAAGAGGGGTTGTTGAGATAGTTTGGTCATTTAGAGAGAATGGATCAAAGTAGAATGACATGGAGAGCATATAAATCTGTAAGGGAAGGAAGGTGGGGTAGGGGTCGTCCTTGAAAAGGGTGGAGGGAGGGGGTAAAGGAGGTTTTGTGGGTGAGGGGCTTGGACTTCCAGCAAGCATGCATTAGCGTGCTAGATAAGAGTGAATGGAGACGAGTGGTATTTAAGACCTGACGAGCTGTTGGAGTGTGAGCAGGGTAATATTTAGTGAAGGGATTCAGGGAAGCTGGTTATTTTTATATAGCTGGACTTGAGTCCTAGAAATGGGAAGTACAATGCCTGCACTTTAAAGGAAGAGTTTGGGATACTGGCAATTTGGAGGGATATATTATATATCTTTATACGTATATGCTTCTAAACTGTTGTGTTCTGGGCACCTCTGCAAAAACAGCGATTATGTGAGTGAGGTGAAAGTGTTGAATGATGATGAAAGTATTTTCTTTATGGGGATTTTCTCTTTTTGGGTCACCCTGCCTCGGTGGGAGACGGCCAACTTGTTAAGAAAAAAAACTATAGTTTTACATACAGACTAGGGCATACAAAAACCGAGGTTTCACTGTATATTGTAAAAAAAAAAAAAAAAAAAAAAGGCAGAGCTTCCAAGAATCTTAACAATGACTCAGACTTAACATTTCTAAACTTAACCAATGTCTTATGAGATCAAATGTCACACTCAGCCTTGGTGAAACTTTCTTCATTTCTATCTGAAGTATATCTTTTATTTCATTTGTTTACCTCTGATTATATATTCTCTCTGAGAGAGTGAACTCTGTAAGAAAAATCCTGAGGTATCTCAAATGCCTTGTAATGCTTAGGACTTATAAATCATCCGCAGAAACTTTGCCAAATTATCCATATACTGGCTCAATAATATCAACAAAGTCATCAATTTATTTTCCTGAGAAGCAGGAATGTGAGAAAAGAAGTATTTGAAGTACTAAGTATAGTGCAGAGAAAGATAAAGATGGGGAAAAAAGAACTGGAAGAGTATTCATTAAGAGGGTAGAGTGGAGGTGGAGAAAATGGAGCAGATCAAGTGGTACCACAGTATGGATACAATATAACCACAATACATACTGAGCTATCAGTTTGTTGTTTCTATGAGTGATACAACATCAACAGGTCTTCCACTTATTAATGAAAGCAATTTTCCAAGCACTGAACCTCTCTAGTATTTCAAATTTTTGTCTGATAGCACACTTGCAGTCAACAAAAGATCATTAACTGGTAAAAAATATTAAATTAGGTTAACTGACCAAGGCACTCAGGAAGTCGTTCCCATTCTCCATGCTCTGTACAGCTGACAGTCTCAACAGCCTTGCCACTCGGGAAACCAAAGCCTGCATAGCACTGGTAGGTAGCCTGACCCAGATATGTCACATTGGTGGCACCAATACTGAAGCCATTGTCAATTTGAGGTACTGGACCACAATAAACAACTGAAAAAATTATGAAAAAATCCAAGACTCATTATTTATTATACTGAACCACATACAGTATTACAATACATGCTATATATATATTTACATTAGTGTTTTAAGCATATAACAAATAAACCAGTTTACTAATGTTATCTGATGAATGAAACATTAAAACTTTATTAGCAAATTGTACATTAATATTCTCCAATACAAATTTTATCATTTTTACTATTCATATCCCTAAAATCCTCAAGTCTTACCTTGGCACTTGGGAATATAGTCAGTGGACCAAGTTCCACCAGGCATACAAGTAGTAACAATTGAAGATTTGTTATTAGCAAACTCTTGACCTACTGGGCAGGTGTAAGTCACAACACTGCCAAAGGAAGTGTCACGGGAGGAAGCAATAGCTTTTTCACCAGCTGATAACATTGGGCAGTCTGTGAGGATAAAGAAAATAAAGCATACATACGTAAATATAAATAATACATGCATTGTAAGACAAGACATGAGAAAATTCATATTTATACATTCTGAAAGCAAACTAAAATTTAACACACACACTGAGCACATCTCTGAGAAAATTTCCAAAACAGTGGAATAAGCTTTTAAAAATACACTGATTTGTACCTCAGATTTTATTATTCAATCTGTAGTACTATCTAATCTGTTCTTACCTCCCCTGTGATATACATGCATAGAGATTTACAACAGCAAATCACCTCAAACCTGTCATAACTCAACAAAATTCTGCTGTTAGAATGATCACTCAATTGGGTCCCAGACAACACACCTACTTGTCCTTCAAAAGTTTAAATTTGCTCAACATACAAAACATCCAAACTTATTACTGTGTATGCTATACAAACAGGATACTTAGCACAAATATGAGCTCAGACTTAAAGCTCTTCCTAAAATAATGCAAAAGAATCCAGACATAATAGAAGAAACGTAAATCTTTGACCTCTACATTTTCACCTCAATCTGAGTAAAAACTCCATGCACACACTAGGTCCAAAAATGTGGAACTCCCTACCGGACAATTTTAATATTTCCCCATCTGCCAACTACTTGAAAATACTGCCAAAAAATACCTTCTGAATCTGATGTAATTTATCTCCTGATGCACAGATGCCAACTAACATCTGCATCAGCAGACATTAGTCTTTTACCCTTAAACTGTTAACACTGTTTTATTCCATATTAAAACTGATGATATAAATAGAACAAGTTTTGTAACCCAGACAATCTTTGTATTAACAATCTTTACTTAAATAAACTAGTATTTTGTAATCATAGTTAATTCTGAAGCACTTTTAATTTGCATAAAATATTCATACTGAGTTGTCACAAAAAGTCAGGTTAGGTAAGGTTCGTCAGGAAACAGGACAAGTGTTTCCTGACGCTGGTCTTGGTCATGTGATGACCAGACATTGGAGCTTTCGGTCACTTGACCAAGTACTTCCACTGGCATACCGGTCAATACACAAATAACCCGCACATAAAAGACAGAAGCTTACGGCGACGTTTCGGTCCGACTTGGACCATTGACAAAGTCACACAGTGTGACTTTGTCAATGGTCCAAGTCGGACCGAAACGTCGTCGTAAGCTTCTGTCTTTTATGTGCGGGTTATTTGTGTATCGTTCCAGTCACGGTATTGTGCCTTTTTGTTATTTATACCGGTCAATCCCCTTTAAAAACTGTGGTCAGTTATAACCATGTAAAGTGAAACCCACATACTGTGACCAGTATCAAGTAGTCTGCTTAATATGCTTTGCATTACAAGGGGCTTTCATTAAAATACTGACGACGATGTTTTCCTGTAACACTAAGGTATATACAACCAAACAAACCCATCCAATGTAACTTCTATGTACGTATTTTCTTGTGCAATGAAATTTTTAATTTTAATTCAATTTAAAACATTAGTTTAACTAACAAACTTGTTTTTCAAACTGACTACTGTGCTGAAGATCAAATATTAAAATTTAGTTAGAGAAAATGTATCATAAATACGTATTTTCTTGACTTTAATAAACTAAATGAATATGATGGTTACATTTATTTATTTTTTATTTGGATATGATACATAGTTGTACAAAGAAATATAGTGATTGGGTGTATATGCCAAAAGCTCCTTGTATGCAGAACATTATGGGCAGGCTTAAAATTAACTTAAGATTAACTAAGCAATGATACATTCAGTGGTAAAAATTACAGTAAACAAATTACAACATGAAGTGCAAATGAGTATTTCAAATAAGAAGCATTAAAGTTGTACAAATTTGTAGCATAACAATGTATAATATAATCGAATCAAATCAAGTAAAATCAATGGTTTGTAGTGCAGAAACAGGTCATAAGGTCATTAGATGAGTTATGGTGCATTCAAGAGAAAGGAGTATTCTATTAGGTAATGTAGTTAAAAAAACAGTTTGATAGGGTCACAGGTTATACATTTATGAGATTCAGTTATTCAGTATTTATTTAGTTGTGGGTGAGTAAGTGGTTTTTAACCCTTTCAGGGTTTTGGCCATACTAGTACGGCTTACGTGCCAGTGCCCATGACGTACTAGTATGCCTAAATTCTAGCGCCTTCAAATCTAGTGAGAGAAAGCTGGTAGGCCTACACATGAAAGAATGGCTCTATGTGGTCAGTGTGCGCAGTATAAAAAAAATCCTGCAGCACACAGTGTGTAATGAGAAAAAAAAAACTTGGACCGTGTTTTTGGATTAAAAAAGCGACTTTGCACTATACAGTGGACCCCCGCTTTACGATCAGCTCCCAATGCAACCAATTATGTAAGTGTATTTATGTAAGTGCATTTGTATGTGTATGTTTGGGGGTCTGAAATGGACTAATCTAATTCACAATATTCCTTATGGGAACAAATTCGTTCAGTAATGGCACCTGAACATACTTCTGGTATGAAATAATATCGTAAGCCGGGGGGTCCACTGTATTTTCGTATGTTATTTATTGTTGTATTCTAGTTTTCCTGGTCTCATTGTATAGAATGGGAGACATATTACAGAATGATTTTGACTGGTTGAGCTCAAAGTAGCAGAAATGTTCGATTTTTACCAAAGTTCAAAATTAAACAAATCATGCTAAGCGTCCAATACACGTCAACTGGTGAGTCTAATATTCTTTCACATGTGCCGATATTATTTATACCATTTTTACACTAATGCAGTAGTCTGCATAACAGTAAATCTTATTTTTTTTGTGAGAATAAAAATTCAAAGTGGAAAGCAAAAGAAATGTAAGAGGGGCATGGGGACGTGACTAAGGAACAGAGGAAATGTTATTTTAGTGCCAGGAATGTCTTTCTTGTTTATTCTGGACCCTATTTGGAAATTGGCATCTTTTGAAATTTGTGTGAAATTGTCAAAATTGCTAAATTCTGACCACTTTATTGGATAGTTGAAATCGGTAAATTGGTGGTTTCTTGTACTCATTCGATAGAAAAAATGGAGTTCTAGCAAAATAGTTATGATTTCTGTCAACTAGTACATTGGAATTGGCCGAAAATAGGGCTCAAAGTGGGCAAAATCGCTGATGCGTAAACATCGTCGAGACTGCTAACTTCGCGAGAGCATAATTCCGTAAGTTTTCCATCAAATTTCATATTTTTGGTGTCATTATGATCGGGAAAAGATTCTCTTATCTTTTCATAAGAAAAAATAATTTTCTTTTTTCTTTTTTGAAATTTTGGCGACCCTGAGAACAAGTCTCTGAGAGGGCCTGTGGACCCTGAAAGGGTTAAGAAAAGTCTTGAATTGATAAACAGACAGTATTTCTTTTATATTCACAGGTAATGAATTCCAGATTTTTGGGCCTTTTATGTGAATTAAGCTTTTACATAGTGTGAGATGGAACATGATTTCTCTACCTTCCTTTGAAAAGCTGACATTTCTGTAACAGATTAAAAAAGTGTTCTTAACACATATATACATGTGGTGCATATAGTGTATGTTACTATTACATTATTGTGCATTTTTATTTTTTTTTACTAGCTAATACCAGCTACCTCAAATACTTTTTACTTCTTTTTAATTGCTATTAATTGCTCATAATTTCATGTTGCAAGTCGAATCTTACTCCTAAATTAATGTTATTCGTGGTTGCTACCTGTCCTTTTAATTTTGTTTAACACTACTTATTTTAGTATCTTTTATATTGTGTTCAATTAGTGTATACTCCAATTACATTATTGTGCAATTCCCAAAACTATCATTTGCTAGCTAGTACCAACTACCTCATATTTTTTTTTTTTTTACTTTTTATATGCTTTTTAAATTGCTAATTTTTATTATTCAGGTCAGTCTTCTTCAAATCAATATTATATCATAGTGACTATTGTCCATTTAATTTGTTTACCATTACTTAGTTTAGCCCCCTTATTATTTTCCCCTTTTTTACTTTAAATAACTACTTCCCTTGTTCATATATTCCAATTTTTAAAAATAATAAGGTGCTATTCTCGGGTGTAAGTGTAAAATGTTCATATTTTTATTATTATTCCCTAGCTTCTTTATTTGACACCACGTTATTTGTCCCCACAACTTATTTTAGCCCCTTTTAATTTCTCCTTTTTTTTTACTTTAAAGAACAACCTTTTAAAAAACCCTACCTAATTTATATTCCAAGCTCTTTTTTGATCACCACTTTTTTTTGTTCCCCACAACTTTTTTTAGTCCCTTTTTATTGTCTCCTTTATTTAGCTTTAAAAACTACCTTAGTTCATATATTTTTTCTTAAATAATTCAGGTGTATTTCTTAGTTTAAATATTTACTTTTTTTTATACTTAATTCAAATTATAGTTTTCACTATAAATTTATGATTACAAGCATTGATCCTAATACCCCTTTTATAAATGACTTAAAAAAACCAAACGAACTGTAATTATACACAGCAGAACAATCAAAAAGGGACTTCTCAGACCAACAACAAAAATACTGCTTTAACTACAATGTCATATCTTTAACAAACTTACGATGACCCCACGTTGCTTAATTCCGATGGCAGTAGCCATCTTACTCTCACCAAAAAGGTAAAACCCCATATACAGAGTCTATGCCTTCCCGGGTTACACAGCCATCAAATTGTGGCCGATCAACAAGGGGTGGCACGTATTTCTACTCGACCAACTGAATGTATCAATAATCATGCACAAGGGGAACATGGGAAATATTTTTAAAAGCTAAATTTAAAAACCAAATACCTACAAAAACCCTCCCGTGATAAACATCTACAGGTACCACGTCCAAACATTAGCAGTTTTAGTGAAAAAAACCCAGGAAAATTATAACTGAATAAGATCACTTACTACTCTCAGGGACTTCAGTATAAATCTCCTGCAGACCCGGGCCCCCCGTTACTGAATTCACAAACACATGAGAATCTTGTTTCTACCAAAAATAACAAAACACA